ATCTATTTAATATGATAAAGGAAGTCATAAAAACATAGTGTAAACCTGGACTGAGTTTTCATACTATCCTTCAAACCTAAGGGGGAAAAAACATGAAAATAGTATTTATCTTCACTCATTTTAAATGCTCTTAGTGGTCAAAAGTTTGCCCACTTGTGCCCTACAACATCATTCTTTAGATCCAGTTGTCTCTGAAACAATACCCTTCATGAGTTTATATATTTTCTGTGTTGTTGTAGAATTAATCCATACCAAAGGGAAAAAAATAAAACAGTAAGGACATGAATTCCTGCTGGCTCATGCTTGTGGATCTTTTCAGAAAAATTACACAGATAATAGTTAGAAAGTAGTGGATATAAAGATACTCTTAAAATATTATTAAAAGATTGCATTAATAATTTATTAAATTTATACCCCCCCCTCCCCAACTCTCAGCAACTTTATCCTAAATGTATATATTTTATGCTTTTGGTTTATTCATCCTGTTTATATCAATTCAAAGCTTCAATGTTCTGGAATGTCTACTGAGAAATATTTCTTTAATATTCATTCTTTCTTGATGTAAATTGTCAGATGTATAATGTTTCTTGGATCGATGAAACTGGTAGTCCTAATCAGTCTGTTGCATGTATACATTTTATTAAATTATAAAACATTTTTGTGGGAATCACACTATTGTCTTTTATGTGTTCTGCTTCATATAGTATAATCAGAATTATTGCATCACTTGTCTTACAAGACTAATGAGATTAAACTAGTGGAAAATTTTCTAAGAAATCAAGTAGGAAAAGAGGAAACTTACAGGAAAGGAGATAGAATGCTGTACGATCAGGCCAGAATTGTATTAACAAGGAATCAGCTCTCAACAAACAAACCAGCAAATGTGTGGAAAACTCTTAAAAATATCACTGGTTACAGCAAACCTCGTCTCCATGCTGAAGAGAATTGACAACTGGCAGATGATCTGAATGAGTTTTACTGTAGGTTTGAGAGGAAACCACTGTCAACTATCACCACCATCTCCATCTCAGATACACCAACAGCCAAGCCTCCTACAACTGACCCTATCCCTTTGGGACCCCCATCTTGGGTGATTACAGAAAAAGATGTGGGAGCTCTATTTCACAGACAAAAGCCTTGAAAAACACCAGGTCCAGACAAGATAACTCCTTCTTGCTTGAAAGCTTGTGCTTACAAACTGGTCCCCATCTTCACCCGCATCTTTAATAAATCACTAGAGATGTGTTAAGTTCCTTCTTGCTTTAAATGCTCTACTACCATCCCAGTGCTGAAGAAATCCTCCATCAAGAAGCTGAACAACTACAGACCGGTTGCTCTGACATCCGTAGTTTTGAAAACCTTTGAAAGGTTAGTGCTGGACCACCTGAAAACCATTATGGATCTGCTGTTAGATTGCTTGCAATTTGCCTACCAAGCAAGTACCTTGGCAGATGATGCTGTTATCATGTTTCCCTGAAAATAAGACCCAGACCTTTTTTTTTGCCTCCAAAAGAGGCACCAGGCCTTATTTTTCGGTGTGTGTGTGTCTTTTCCATTCACATCTGGCACCGATAGCCCTGCCCAGCTGGCCCACTTCTGGGGACGAAGGAGCAGCTTCATTCTGCAGCTGAGAATGGAGCTCTTGCCTGCATTTTGCAGTCAAAGCCTTTCTTGAAGGCCACTGCAACTGAGAACTGAGCTATGGATTGAATCCATAGCTTGGTTCTCAGCTGCAGTGACCTTCTGGAAAGGCCATTGACTGCAAAATCCAGGCCTGGGAATGCCGCAGAAGTGGGCCAGTGAGGAGAGGCCTGGCTGCAAGGTAAGTGGATGTGGGGTGCATGGGGCAGTTCCATCCTCCCCCCCACCCTAGCTTGATTTTTTAGGTGTGTGCTTTGCACCAAAACTAGGGCTTATTTTCAGGGTAGAGCTTACACTCAGTAAAATACTCTCTCCTCTTCTTTCTTTATACCAACGACTGCATCTCAAAGGATCCCTCTGTTAAAGAGCTAAAGTTTGCAGATGATACAACAGTGATTGGTCTTGTTCATGTCAGCGACAAATCTGCATACAGACGGGAAGTTGAGCAACTAGTCATGTGCTGTGGCCGGAACAATCTTGAACTGAACACATTCAAAACTGTAGAAGTGATAGTAGATTTTAGGAGAAGACCTCCTATTCTACCACCTCTTACAATACTTGACAACACAGTATCAACAGTCGAGACCTTCAAGTTTCTAGATTCTACAATATCTCAAGACTTAAAATGGACACCTAACATCAAAAATGTCATCAAAAAAGCACAATAAAGAATGTTCTTCCTGCGTCAACTCAGAAAGTCCAGACTGCCCAAGGAGCTGCTGATACAGTTCTACAAAGGAATTATTGAGTATGTCATTTGCACCTCTATAACTGTCTGACCTGGCACTGCAACCAAACAAGACAGACACAGATTTCAGCGGATAATGAGAACTGCAGAAAAAACAATTACTACGGACTACTATTGAAGACCTGTATACTGCACAAGCAAGAAAGAGAGCTGTGAAAATATCTATAGACCCCTCACATCCTGGACATAAACTGTTTCAACTTCTTCCTCAAGACAACACTATATGGCATTGCACGCCAAAACAACTAGACACAAGGAGTTTTTTCCCCCTATGCCATCATTCTGCTAAACAATTAATTCCCACTATACTGTCAAACTACCTAATAGAACAGTATTACTATTATCTTTCTCATCCTTCCTATTACCTATTCCTTATCTTCTTATGACTATAACTTTGCTGCTTGTACCTTATGATTTATATTTTACTTAGTATCCTAGTATAATTTATGTTGACTGCTTATTTAGTATCCTATGACCATCACTGTTATATTTATGATTATAATCATGTAATTTATCACCTGTTGCTTGTATGTACAGTATACTGAGAGCTTATGTACTGGAGACAAATTCCTTGTATGTCCAATCACACTTGGCCAATAAATAATTTGATTCTAAAAGTAGAATGAAAAGCTGGAGTTCTAAAACTCCCAATAATGAAACCAGCCATTTGAACCTAATAGTGAGTTCCCATAGTAAATTAGTTGTAACTGAGTCAGGCTTATCTGCTAATGACTGTATGGACAAACATTCAATATCTCAATCAGTCTTCAATAATAACACAAGGACATCCATCCTTGTTTGTTGTCCTTCCCTTTTTCAGTTACCTTATCATCCCATTCATCATACAATAATTTGTGAAATTTTGCTTGCTGATTATTGCTTTAAGAAGGCATTTGGTCCAAAACCAAATAGTTAATGTTCTTAGTAACCATATCAAAATCTGCTTCTGGAAAGTATCCTTCTTTCATTTTTTCTCAGTGCTCAACCTTTAGAACTGTACCCTGGAAAGTTTATTGCTTCAACTACTCTGTGGATGGAACACAAATATATTTATTCTCATCATCCTAAATTCATCACAGATGCTGAAGATTAATTTTTTTACCTGTTCAGTATCCTGTCATTTTTTCTGTCAAGCCAAAGCAAATTGTCTACCACTTCAGTGCTTTGCTGTCATATCAAACTTCACTTTGCATGCTAGATTCTAGTTGATGTTACATTTTAGGATTTAACATTAATCAGGATTTTTCATTTTTATTTTCAGAATGTGCTTTTCTAAGATTTAACCTTTGGGCTAACAAAAGGACAGCATTCAGACCCTTGTGGTAGCACTGACTTCTGGGTGGCCTGTAGGGATTAGGAGTGGGGAGCATAGTATTCCAGCAATTTGTTTCCTTTGTGATCAGTTCCAGTCAATTGGACACAAGAAGCAGGGCACTTTTGTCAAGGTGATACTTTCTGGAACATCATTCTTCCCAGAATGTGTACAGGTTCCCTTCTTGCTTTATTTAAAGAAGCCTTTAAAACCAGGCTCTTCTCTCAGGCCCTGAATGAAAGTAGTTGCTAGACCTCTTATCTTGATGTTTTGGGTCTCTCTCTGTTTTCTTCCAGACTCTCTTTTTTAAGCAATGGGTATCTTTCTTGTATTGGTGCAGTTTTTTACCTGTCCAGAATTGTGACAAATTAGGGCAGTCTATACATAAAACTGTAACCTATGCACCTCAGAATGTGTTTGACTGCCTATTCTAGTTGACATTGCTTCTAACATTGCCATTTCTATAAGTTCACATATAAGTAAAATATGCAGGCATAACATGCATCCTTTTCTCATGAATTTTCCCATTCTGAGTCATTAGTTTTCCAAATTCAGTAATTATCATTCATTGTAAAAGTTACTTGGAAGAATAATTAACTATTGTGGCCTAACCATAACCTTAGTATATTTGATATTGTTATAATATATACAAACCACCACCCTCCCATAGTCAGTAAAGCAAAGACAAATCTTTTTTATATTCTTTGCCTCTTTCCACATCTTACATTAACTATCTAATTACACCTTTATACATTTTCTGAATTTCTCTGTGCAATTGGTGTATCATTCTCCATGTATGACTCCATTCTTTGATGGCTTGCATGAGAAATCAGCACAACGATTCAGTAGTTAATACATTATTTTGCATCTCCTTTTTGAATTAATAAAATATAAATAAACTGATACCTAGATGCCTTTTGTGTTTGGAAGGACAATGAAAAAAAGAGAAATCCAAAGGAGCTGTTGTTTGTGAAGTTGTAAGTAAAAAGATGAGGACCACTATTGTCACTTAGTGTCAACTAAATGCAACTAGTGCAAACATCCAGCATCCAGGGAAAGGGGCAGACAAAGCACTTCCACCTTGCTGCTATGAAAATTGCATGGATATTTCAATGTATGCACCAGGAGCTGAGTTCAACTGGAGAGAATCTTTGTATTTACTATTTGTAATAATCCATTATCACTCATAATAATTGATTGAAAGGATATTAACAATTTTATAATGCCACGTAAAAGACAATGTTAGTTATATGACAAATATCAAATGTCTCAAAACAAAGACGCTTCAGAAAAGCACAGTTGCTAGACACGCAGATGCACATTCATTTTAATATCTAAAAGAATGAATACATCTCATTCATTCCAATTAGAAAACCAAATAAATTCAATTGATGAATTCCAAATGAAAAATTTATTACTCATTGTTTTAACTTGCATTATTTCTGTTTCTGCTGGATAAACACCTAACATACACAGCAGTGGGCTGTATGAGTTAAAGAGAGGAAGGTAAAAGAGTAATAAAATTGTCAGGAATTAAATGAACTATATAGAATAGAAAACTTTGTCTGAGCTAACTTTATTGTAAAAGGGTTACAAATGAGAGAAGAGCAGACAATCTCCCATTGATACCCAAGCCAGAATATATATAAATGGCTTATAAAACTGACTTTATTTGGGTCTGAAATTCAGCAGGCACAAAGCTGGGGATGGGGTGAAATAGATGGAAAACACTAGTATAATATATTAAAAGCTCATATGATTTAAAACATTCCATAGTCATAGGCAGCAAAATATGCATTTTAAAATTAATAGAAATAAGATCATTTAAAGCAATGAACTGAAAATGAAAACTAAAAAAAATTGACCTTTCAATAATGAAAATGAATGGGAAACGTCTGTAACAATCACTTCATAATGAAAGCTTGTTACTACAATACATTTTGTAATTTAGCTTCACACTTGTATTATCAGTAGTTGACACTTAACATTTTAACAAGATTTTAAATGAACCACATTCATTATTCACAATGTTGTTTAGAGAAACAGAAACATTTGACAAAATATAATAGTTTAAAATGCAATTCCTACTTAAAATCACTATTTTGATTATATGCTCACTCAACCACCACAGAAATTAACAGCTACTACGTTCTTTGGTGAGCAAGAGCCTGTTACAAATACATTTTGCCATTTTTTTCCAAAATATTTCATGTTACATCTTTAAACCCAAAAAATTCTATTGCACTTTTAATTTGAACTGTTCTTTTAAGCACCTTAAAGCATGGTACCTCATTTTATAAATTAAAGTATACCCAGTTTTTTCAACCACAATCATTTCAAGGCTGAATACAAACATCCTGGGAAAACAGTTTTATGACAGAGTATCACAACATGCAGAATCAGATAATTATAATAATTATAATCAGAATTCTAATCAGAATTCGAATACTAATTTTACAAAAGCTTGCTGAAGCTCTCCAAAGCAAGGTGCAAAAGAATCAGGATCATTCATACATATTTTATGTTTTAATTCATCTGTTTTTCCTTTTTAATGTTTTGTCACTAAGTATAGCATTGGGTAGATTTGTCTTCATTTTTAAATTCCTTTTTAAAACTCAGGTTTTTGGAGAGATATAAACCTTGTAAGGAGATTTTGATTCATATTTATTCATGTTTTTACACTTTAATATATTACATGGGGTGGACAAACTATCTGTTAACAGATATCACTGGAAAACCGAAAGGCTAACTTCTTTTATTGACATTTGTCTAACATTTCAAATGCTGTGGTTTTTTTTTAAAAAAAGAGGTTCAGCAGTAGATTTTGTAGAATTTTCCAACAACAGAAAATTCTTTTAAACATAATTCCTCCACATAAAATTTAAAACATTACATTGAACATATTATACAACATTATAATAAAAGGCATAATCTTTTTACATTTTCCCATTATTAAGTATATAGAGTTTTCTGGCAGCAGTAGAAACCAATAAGCAGCTATTTGTTGTGAAATATTATGGGTGCTGTTATGTACAGTAGAATGAATCTTTAAGCAGGTAAAAATATAGATATATTGATGCATTTAAAGTTGAAGCAAAATTAAAGGTGGTCTCAAAACCTCTAGTGGAGTTTAGTACCAGTTCGTCAAAAAATCTCTAATCATCTCATCAGAATTTGAGTCTAAGCAAGAAAAAGTCACAAATATTTACACTGTATCAAAACAATATAAAAGTTTACTAGTCACTTCCAGTGTGCAAAGTAAGCAGAAGTGATTACTGATTCTGCAAAATCTCGTTGAAGCATTCCCAAAGCAGAGTGCAAAACAATCAGGAATCTTTAGGCAAGTTCTTGGGTATCTTTTTAAATAGTTTGGGTTTTTTTTCTCCTTTAAAGCTTTATTGTCAGGATAACTTCTAAGATTAGTGCAAATTCATCCACCATTTAGGATCTGTAATCCTTCCGAACTGTGTGTGCCATCCAGTTTACTTTTGTAGTCCAACTTTCTCTGAGTGCTTCATCAAATTTCTGCTTAAACTGTTTTAATGCTTCCTCATCACTCTTTCCTAAGGCAAGAGAGTCCTGAGAAAAGTAACAAAAACATGTTATTTGTCTTTTATGCTCTATACTTTCAAATCATTTTGCAGACTGTTGACCAAATCTGTTGTTCTGCAGTTAATTCCTATGGTTTGCAGAACTCAACAAGAATATGAGATAATGCTAGCATTTTTTACTTTAGATGAAAGGAATTTGTGTTACAACAAACAATTCAACAGAAAGCTATGATGATAATCATAGCAGTTCAGGAATTATACTGGCATTTTGATTCTCTTATAATCAAAAGTTATTAATTTACAAAGTATAATCCCTAAGTCCTTCACTAATTCAAAGATTTCTTCCTAAACTCATCTCTGGGAAAGTTCTATTAATCTGTGCTTGAATTATGAATGAATTGGTAAGAAGACATTTTACAAAATGCACAAGGACCTCTCACCATTTCAAATTCACAATATTATGATCTTACCCTTCCTTTACCAAAAAATTATATCAAGGGGCTTGTCCACTTTACCCCATAAATCTGAAGATTAAGCAGAGTACAGGATTCAGAGACAAAAGGTCAGAAATTTTATGGTAGAAAAAAAATTTCTAAAAATTATCACATAATAATTTTTACATAATATCAAGATAAAGTTGAAAGTTTGAAGATGCTGCTCTGAACAAACATCAATTGCATATTTATAAATGAAAATTAACAATAAAATATTCCTTCATGGAAGAATCAGTTCTGTAAAAAGGAAGTTGAAAAGCTCCACATATAGAGCTCCTTCTAAAGCATGTGATTTAAGCTAGAAAATCCATTTACTTCACCATTTTTTATATGAGAGTGTTAAAAGTGATGTTCACTTTTTGGAAAATTATTTTTGCACTGTTTATTAAAGAATTATTCAGGGTTCAGATGGAAAAAACAAGCAAAATTATATTATGTATACTTGTGTATTTGCTCGGTGGAAGCTATTAGAAAAGTGCATATACTGTATCTATGTTGTCACACATATTGTCCAAGAAATAAGATAAAGAGTCTCTAAAGAGAAAGAATGGGCAACATGATGTTTTCCAGATACTGCTGAATTCAAACTCCTGTCTGGTTTAGCCATCACGATCAATGAAAAAGCATGATAGGAACAGCCTTGCAATAATATAGTAACTTGGGTTAGGTTAGGGAATTGAGGTGGATATTGTGGCAGGGCTGTTGAAGGTCTCTGCCTGAGATTTTAGGAAGATGCTACTAGTTGGAATTAATACTGTTGCCTAGGTTAGATGCAGAAGTTCATCTTGTATGAGAAATAATAAAAATACGTTAGATAATTACTCTCAAAAAGCTTGGAGAGAATTTAGAAAAAATGTACAATATTATCTGACTAAATTGTCAATTATTTATTTAATCTATATCCAGTTTTCTTGGAAAACATAAGATCTGACTGAAAACTAACAAATGTGTTTCATCAACAAGTAAGGAGTTGAACATGTTCCCCCCATATCACTAAACTATTAGAGATGTACCTTTAGATATTGGATGTCTTTAACAGAAGTTAGCTCTGGAAGCCCAGCTGTTAACATTAGTGCAAACAAGGTGATAAATAGGTTGCCATGTCTTCGCAGAATCAAGTATGCTTCTTCACAGTATTGGCGAAACCTTAACATTAGCATTCAAAAAACAGACACTGTAAATCAGGACAATAAAAATAGACAGACTGGACAGGTGACCTGGTCTGGTTTAAGACAGTGATGAACAAAATAGATTCATCACTGAGAGTTGATGTTTATACCATCACTTGTTCTTATTTTGCAACTGTTTGAAAAAAAGATGTACAGGTTATTTATTCTGAAAAGTACTTATTTGCAAATAGTTTGCTTTATTTTTACTTAGCAACAGTATGTATAACATCATGATAATTCTAGTTATTTGACAGAATGAAGTTGTGTATTATAATCCAAATTAGAGTGACAAATATTCATACAGACATGGAACAAGTGAGTAAACCATAGATAAAAGTTCTCAGAATCAGAAATATGATTACATCAGTGTCTGATGTCAGGAATGAATTCATGCAACCCTGTGTATCAGTTATTCAGTTTTTTTCTAAACTATTCCCCAAGAGAAGAAACAATGTTTTCTAGTATTACCACTATTGATTATTCTATATAAATTTAAAGGCATTATTCCCCCAACCGAAACAACTGGATATTGTTTTAAAAAGTGATTCTCAAATTTATCTATTACATTTAACACTGAGTCCCAAATACAACTTTTATTTATGTTCTTAAGGTATTCATGGGAATACTTCAACAGGTTTTCTAATAAGTAAAAAAAAAAAAAACCATTTTCCTTGTTTTTTTTTAAAAAAGGAGACTTTATTTATTTCAAAAGTATTCAAATATATGGCTTTGTGATCAGCGAAAAAGATTTTATATGGGAAAACAATAGATTGTATGTATGCACATGTGTCCATACACATACAGACATATAGACAGACACTCTCTCCAAGAATTCTCTTAAAATTCAATAGTAGTTCAAATTCTGATAATCTGATATATTAGACGAATGAGAACAAGCAAAATAGAACTATGTACAGAAGAATGCCTACAAATGCCTACTTTTCCTATAATGTCTATCATATTATTTGTTTTCTTTCATATATAAAGCTAGACATTATGTAAAATCTACTTTCCCAAGTTAAGCTTGATGGTTTATGATGACCTGAATATGTTCTTTTACCGGTTGTTGGGTTTTTTTGGCCACAAGAGTTATTTTATTGCCTTCCTAGATTTTCCACTCCTATCCTACAATGTGGAGGTTTCCTATATACTAACCAGGTCTAACCCTGCTTAATCTCCCATCTCCCACCCACTGGACAGCTATCTAAAAATTAGTATAGCATCAATTTGATTCTGTCACATAGGGATCTAAGACTAAACCAGAACTAAATTATTCTAACAGGTTTAGTACTTACCGGCCAAATTTTTCAGTGTTTCCAGTTTTTCCCTGCTGGATGACATGAATAAAATCATATGTAAGGATGAAAGGGACTCGTTCTCTTTTAATTCCAAATTTGGATTTGAAGTTTCCAAGAATATGACCAAAATCTATATGAAACAGCTGGAAAACAGAACAACATTATATCTGGGGAAATATTCATATTATTCATAACAAAACACTATCATCTTATTTTTAAATTCTTCTGCAATGAAATACAACTGCATCTCTTCAATTATGATGAATAATTGCAAGTTTTCAACTAATAATTTATATCTTTTTAATTAAACCACCTAAATGATTAAATTCCTTCTCCTTGGCAGGGAGAGGAAGTCTGACTTGAGGAAATGCAGTGGCTATTGGGTCAGTTGATGGAAAGGAAAAAGAGAATTAGGAACAAGGTGAGTTTCTGGTCTAGTGAGATATTTAATCTTCAGTTCTTAATGTCCATATGGAAGTTAGAAATATTCATCCAGGAAAGGATCTATATTTAGGCAGGTATTCTCAGATATATGTTTGGCAAAGATTTGCTTGCTACTTTATAACTGCCTGAAAAAAGATAATCCCACTAACAATTTTGAGTTAAATCTTGAATTAAACAACAATTTAATATTTGCCAAGTAGGATGGGGAAAAAATCAAAACACTTGCTAGCAATTTACTCACAGAGAGAAAATTGCTGCATCAGGAACACAACTTGGGATTACTTGTGAATGGCATCTAGTGCAAGGAAGGCAAGAGAAGAAAAATGGCCTGAGCAGAAAAGGGTAGGTCTCACTCTACTGCAATGACTCTTTTATTAGGTCAATACACAGTACTTCACACATATCCAAGGTGGAAGCTATTGTCACCTATCAAAGGAGATTTGCAAAGCAAAGGAAGTTCTATGCTCCTAAGGCATAAACATACTCAAAAGCCTATTTAATTTTTTTTAAGTTATGACTTCATTTTCCTATTATGTAGAAATGTTATATTTGTTAGAAAACATTATATAAGAAAGGTTTTAATAGTTTTAGAATGATATACATTTTATGGGAATGATGAAGGTAACAGTATGCTGTGAAAAAACTTTTCCCCAACAAAATCACAGGAATCACCATTCTGAGCTGGGAGTGAATATCTCTACTGGAATATTCCAAACAAACATTTCCCCATTAATATCTTGACTCTTACCTGACCATTCTTCCTAACCATGATATTGTCACTGTGTCTGTCTCCAATGCCCAGGACATAAGTAGCTACACAGTAGCCAGCACAAGACAAAGTGAATGCCTCAATGGCTTGATCCAAATCTTCTCTGAATTAAAAAGATAATAGTGTTTATAAATAGACTTGAACCAGATATTTAAAAATTTATACTATATTTTTTAAAGAGCTGCTTAAATTACAGAGCTGAATCTCATTTAGTTTATTTACCAAAATAATGCCAAGAGCATTATTAAGAAAACATCTTGCAAAATGAAATGGCAAATGCAGAAGGAACTTTTGGAATTACTTCCCACCAATTCCTCATTAATTACATCCTCACATCATGCAACTATCATTGAAGTGATTTAAGGACTATTTTCTTTATTGTTATTTGATACAACAATTGTATGACTCTACACTGTTAAGCTGCTAGCAAGAAAATGTGTATTTTTACGCCCTAAAACATGTATCATCTGAACTGCCTACAGATCTGCTTTTCTGCAAGAACACTGTAGAGTGCTGCAATGAAGTTCACACATAAAAAAATAACATGTGTTGGTACAGCAGGGGCCTTCTTTTGCACCCTGCCATCTTATCATGAAAGCCCTCACTGAGCACACGAGAGAAGGCTCAAGTTGCAAAAGATGGTTCTGGGTGGTGCAGAAGTGGTTCATAGTGCAATGGTAGAGAAGGCCAGATAGAGGGAGCAGTTGGTTGCAGTGGGTAGGTGGACAATCAAAAGATGGCCATAAATTTTGTTCAGGTGACTGCGAGGGAAGTGGCCATGACCAGAACTTTGAGGAACAGCTGTAAGTCCTTTTATTCAGTGCTGTTGTAACTTTGAATGGTCACTGAATAAATCGAAATTAAGCAAGTATTACATGTATATCAAAGAATGCAATTGTAAGGAACATTAACATTTAAAAATGCTAATATTAAAAAAATCTAATATTATAGAAAATCATAAGTGTGGTGAGAATATTAAAATGATATGATTGTAGCAAATTCTTTCACTAAAACCATAGTTGAAAATGCAATAATCAAGATGGATTTTTCTTTCATACATGGCAACAATGTTGCAAACAATTCTGGAAGTTGATTTATAACAGTATGAACTTTTCCTTCCAGACTATTTTTTAAATTAAATATCACTAAATATTTAGTAATTTTTATAAAGTATTGGCCTTGTACATGATAACAGCTGCTAGAATTGTTTCACACTAGAAATTACACCCCCCCTCTCTCTCTTACACACACACACACACACACACACACACACACACACACACACACACATTCTGCAGGTGTAGAAGGTATTACATGAAAATATAGATGTATTTGCTTATGGAATATCGTGCAACGGTTTAATGTATTTGTGAAACCTGCGTGAATACCTGGCAGTAAGACTCTTTAACAACATTCTGTTCCCCTACACAAATGGAAAGGTAGCAAGGATGATTGCAAAATTACAAGATATTTGTTATTTAAGTCCCTGGGCAGAGGCACCACTGAAGACCAATTAGTTTGTCACAACTCCTTTATTAGTGACTTTCTCAAATGTCACTAATCTGATCAAAAAACTGAAAGGATGCTAAAAAACAGGAATAAAATAATTAAGAATTTTCTACATACCCAGTATTGTATTCTTTAAGCCAATTTAACAGAGCATCTTTGTTGAATGCAGCAGCTGCAGCAACATTACTACTGTTGAGTTGAATGTCTGCAATTGTTTCAGAAGCTGAAACCACCTCAATTAAACCAGAATAATCTCCAGTTGCTAAACAGCCATAAGGCAACAGTCTGGAAAAAATATGAGTTTATAATTAAGTCAGAATATTTTTATTTATTTAAATTATTTTTATCTCCTTTTATCTTCTTCAAAGAGAGTTTAAATCAATATGTTGTCCAAAATCAGTATTTAATAAAAAAGAAAAGAAAAAGAAAGCATTGTTCTGAATTTCTAGTACTTGAACAACAGATGGTGCTATCTCCCTTATTTCAAAGTACGACAATTGAATGTTGGCCAAATGCAATTTTTAAAAAAGGAAAAATGCATGAAGTTTCCAGAAAAATACATTTATGTAGAGGTCTGATCATTTGCAGTTACTAATTAAATATTTGGCCCACATTTTTATTTTTTCTGGTTCTTTTCAATCCACAATCCACCTAGGTTGATGAAAAGTTCTAGAAAACTGATTTATGTAACCTTTAGTAATGTGTTTTTGTTGTTGTTGTTGTTGATCCTAACAAATATAGGTTTTGGATCTTATTTGTCTGAGTGGAGTAGCCAAACATGTACTTCTTATAGATTCCTAGACAAGATTCTTGGCATATTCTTTTTTTCTAACATAAACTATCACATTTTTAATCACGCTGTATACTGCTTATCTATGGCAAGGATTGGCAACTTTCTGTCCTCTCCAATAGAAATCTCATAAGATTTCAGCAGAAATTGCCATATCAGATTTCCAAAATCAGGAAATCTTCTAATACAAGATCTTGCATAAGAACATCAAATTCTGAGCACTTTCAAGAATGTTTAACTAAATACATATATTTAAAGTTCTTCTTGAAAATTGAGTCTACTGAGTATTCTAATGAACAGGCATGCTGTGCTGTCCGCCTCTACTCTATGGAAATTGGAATTGAATTCAAAGTGACAATTAAAAAATAAGTGAAAATTCTTATTTGAGGATTTTAAAGAAAACAATGAGGAAATTTACAGCATGAACTTAGCTGTTAAGATCTTTTAAGTTCTCATCCATTCTGCAATTTAATTACATCAATATTGGCTTAAATTTCCTTTGTAGCTTTTAGCACTGTCAAAAATGTATTTAAAAGCATGCATAAAGTTTTCTGCTACAATTCATTTTAATCCTTTTTTCCCACTCTGGCCCAACACTTCCCAAGAGATTGGTAAAAATTACAGTGCTTATTTATAAAATCAGGGGGGATATATATATATATATATATATATATATTTCAAAATGGTAAATCAGTAACTGACTTCTGAACACATAACCACATGTTTTCTGAGTAATATAGTTCCTAAATGAATCTTTTGTATTTAATTTATTCTGCTATCAGAGGCATAATTGTAGAACATTTTCTCACAAATAGCTTATTTCTTTGCTGGGTCACTTGTTGAAATATATTGTTCTTATCTGTGTAAGTGATTACCATATGCCTGAAGTTCATTCTGTTTGTTAAACTAAAAGTATTTAAGAGATGAGCTCCAGATTACCATCTGGTGTGTTAGGAATATAATATCTATTATTTAAAAAATGATTTTCTGTTTCTTTTACATCTACTGTTGAGAAAAGGCAAATTAGCGTTTCAAGTGTTGCGCAACTGCCCATTTAAACAAGGACTAAGTAAATACATTAAGCATTAACAAAGAAAAAAATATAATCTTATGAAGTTGTTACTGCTGTTGTTAATTCTGCCTTTCTTATATATGAACCTCAAGGTGGTGAACATCCCTAATACCTCCTCCTATTTTCTTCACAACAACTACCCCGTGAAAGCTGAGTTGGGCTGAGAGAGAATAAGGGGTCCAAGTAGAAAAACACAGGCTGCAGGGAAAGCACAGGAGTTCCTTAGAGAGTAGCATTTAGAAATCAAACTGGGTAACAACACGAGCACGAGTCAGTATAGTCATGCTGAAGGATATATGAATAACGCAATTAGTACCATTTTTATATCACTAGTAAAGGCATCAATAAATAGGCCTTTTATTCTTTTTCCTTGCTAATGGTTAATTAATTCAGTCTTATTTATTTATTTATTTATTTATTTACTGACTGGCAACTTGGAAACTGAGGTATAAAGAGCTTCATCATATTCCCACCACCAAAATGGCATCACAAAATATCAATTATTCTGTTGCCATTTTTGGTATTCCAACAGGAATTAGTATGATGCTCATAGAAAAATGACTTTATTTTAAGCAGGGATTTGAAAAGTTATAGAGGGAGACTGGGATTGCTAATTATACTCACGACCTTCCACATTTCTGGGATTTAATAATAAGGTGGGAGACAGTAACGAATTCTTTCAGGAAATCCACGTGCAATATTAAGTATCTCATGTTTCATGCTGTACATCAAATATTATAGTATTAATACATTTCAACAGATTTGCTTAAATTTTACTATAGGCATTTAAGTCTGGCCTTCGCCAACATAAATGAGGGACAATCAATCAGAATAGAGCTGGAAGGGATTTGGGAAGTTTTCTAGTCTAGCGGGCCTCAGCCTTTTGGGGGCACCAGGGACCGGTTCTGTGGAGAAAGTTTCTTCTGCAGACCAGAGGGGGTGTGACTTCATGTGCTGCCTGCATCTCGCGAATGGGACTTTGCTTGTTTGTGTGGCTGGGTTTCTGACATGCCAAGGGCCGGTGCCTTTCCACAGACTGGGGTTGGGGACCCGTTTCAGACAAGTGACTATCCAATCTCTTCTTAAAAACCTCCAGTGATGAAGAGGTAAAGAAAATAACTAAGGCACCTTCTAGCAATATACATCCATAGAAACCAGAGCTATTCCATGATAAAAGCTTGTACATGGAAAAACTAGAAATAAATAACCTTTCTCTTGATTGCATCTTTAAGATGTGTAGGGAGTTACCATAATAGAACATTATATCTTTGACTAGGGGAAGATTAGCTTAATATTTCCTTTATCCTATCTTTCTCCATGACTACCTTAAAGTCACTAAAAGTCAGATTATTTCACTGGTGTCTGAATGCACTTCATATTGGAATAAAAGAACAAGTTAATACTGTACTGAAAATGTAAGTCAGACTTCCCCAACTGAGCACCTTGTACTAGATCAAACATCTAATATCTAAAATGTTTGATAAATTGTTACTGTGATGATTTGTGGTCAAGACCCAAGTTAGGAAGTTTTGTCATTGAAGACAGAATGAAATTAGAGTAATGACCTTTTATTCCTAATTAGCAGCACACAATCACCAAACCTTATTTGTTCAGATGACTGTAGAGAATAATAACAACAGAGATTTTTCTATTTAATTCTATAATGAAAAAAATAATGTACATATCCAGTTAGGAAAATAAACTGAAATTCTTACATTTAAAATATTTTAATATCAAATTTATCAAGAATATCAATATTCTTGCATGTTGCAAATTAAAGCTGGGGGACCTTTAGGTAGTTTTCAAGTAACAGCAAAAATAAAAAATATATAAAAAAAGAAACAGAGTTAGAAGCGACTTTGGAAGTCTTCTAGTCCAACCCTCAGACTGGAAAATAAATAAATAAATAGCTCAAGAATACATGCTGGGCTAAAAAAAGAGAACAGTATACTATGGTAGATAATGAAATATCCTTGTAGCTGACATTTTATTAAAAACCAAAGTATCTTGGTTAATGACTTCTTTTTATTATCCTCTATAGCAGAGGTCTCCAACCTTGGCAACTTTAAGACCTGTGGAATTCAACTCCCAGAATTCCTCAGCCAGCTTTGAAGTCCACAGGTCTAAAGTTGCCAAGGTTGAGGACCCCTGCTCTATAGGGCAGCAAATAATTGAGGATGCAACATTTTTGGTATTGTTGAAAATCCTTATTTATCAAATTAAACTAGCACACTTACATAGGATTTGTTCTTTAAAAATGATAATATATGCTTCTATTGTAAGTATAAGCAAGTATTTTTTAGAAATTAACTGAAGTTGTGCAGATAACTTTGAATCATTTTGTATGTCTTCAAATAAATACTATTTAAAGATAATAGTAACAGTAACAATCTAAACAACACTAGAAGAAAATCCACTAACTAAAAGCCCTCTTACCGAAGGTCTAGCCCAGCTTCTTTCCAAAGTAAATCCATTAAACGTAACATCTGAAGAGTCAACATGTCTTGTCGTAGATCTGTAACAAAAATTGATAGATAAGATTGTATAAAATAATTGAAAAATGTGCAATATTAGATAGTCCTTGACTTACAAAAGTTTGTTTAGTGACCATTCAAAGTTACAACTGCACTTAAAAAAGTGACATGCAATAGTGGCGAGTATCTGTAGCTTGAATGTAGAAGATTCCTTCTCTGAGCTTGTGGATTGGTTTCTGAACATTTCACTACAAGGCTAGGTAACATCTTCAGCGGAGTTTAGGGGATGTCAATGTCAGTATTCTTCTGTTTAGAAGGGCTTCAGGTGTGGGTGTGTCAAGTGAAGTCTTGTGATGGGTCAGGTGTGAGTTATCAGTGATACTTGTGATGGGTCTTGTAACGGGGAAGTTACATCAGGTCAGCGTCATTGGGAAGTGAACTGTTGGTGGTGGGAGCCTGCGTGGGTTGGTTGAGGGTTGGTGCTATCTCTGGTTGGCTATATAGTTGATTTAGATTCTGAGAGGTTTGTAGGCTGGTTGTATGTTGCCTATGACTGTTTTGCACACTCACGACTTATAGGATCCCCTTGGTCCCATAATTAAAATCCGGACGCTTAGCAACAGATCATATTTATGACGGTTGCAGTGTCCAAGAATCATCTGATCACCTTTTGCAACCTTCTGGCAAGTAAAGTCAATGGGAAAGCGAGATTCACTTAATAGCCATGTTACTAACTTAACAACCACAGTGATTCATTTAACAAATATGGAAGAAAGATTGCAAAATGGGCAAAATTCACTTAACAACTATCTCTCTCAACAACAGAGATTTTGGGCTCAATTATGGTCATAAGTTGAGGACTTATGTACATAGAAACTTTTCAAACATCTATAAAGCATATTTGGATTTGTAAAAAAATATTTCTCAGACTGAATTTCAATATAAATTGCCTGAAATAATGGCAATATTCCACCACACCTCTAACATTAAAATGCCAACAACAGAAAATGAAATTTTATGTGTACTTACCATCTCCATTTTTAAAAATGATTCCCACCAAGTCACCACCGAACGCTTTGTTACTGTATACTATCCATAAAGGCTTCATTTTTGAGTCCATATATTTACATTTCTCTATACTAGAACAAAGGTAATAACATTTTTGGTGAGTTCAGTTAAAAGTTTAATGAGCCACAAAAATGCATTGGGAAGGAATAAGTCTGATGGAAGATTATTCCATAATGGAATTTTAGAAACTGGTCAAATGCTTTTCAAAACTTTAATTTTGTTGCTTCAATATCAGTTAACACTTGCAAATTGGCACATTTCTTAAATAATTCTTGGATCCCTATCTAGTGGCCACTAATACAACACCTGAACTAGAGATGCATATTTACTTTGAAAATCTCTCTCTTTCTCCCAAATTTTACTGGGTTTTGTGTTTAAAAAGTTGTCACATAAGCTATTATTGTGCATATTTTGATAACACAATTAGTGATAACATTCTTAACTTAAGCCATTATTATTGGAAATGCTAAACATTTAACAGTTTAAAGATTAATCCAATCTTCACTCCAAGAACTGGCATCTTAACCTTAGGATAACAGAGATTTGCTTACATGGCTAAGAGGGAGAAAAAGAATGTCAGCCACATGTAGAAATGCTGCCTTATGCATGGTCATGTCTACTGAGCAATAAAAAGCAGAGAGGTTAAAGAATTGGAGCCTTCTGCTTTTTTTTTTAAATTTCTTTTTTTTTAATTTTTATTATTTTATTTTCATTACAATCATAAGAAAAAAAATTCAGATACATAAGAAGTTAAAATACAACACACAAATTCCGACATTGCTCACCCATTTCCCCCAGACCGCATCCCCCTCTCATCTCTTCACTTCCCCCTTCCTTCTACCTCCTCCTCTCCTCCCCTCCCTCTCTCCTCCATCTTTCTACTTACTTATCCCTCTCCTCTTCTTCTCAATCGGATGCGGTCTGAGGGAAAATGCCCGAGCAATCCTCTATCACCAAAATCTGAACTATTGAACATACTACCCATACTCTCCCCTCCCCCCTCCCCCTTTTCCCCCCGACTTCCCAGAGCTCAGTACAGGGTTACAAAAAGAAGAAGAAGAAGAAAAGAAAACTAAACATAGTCAAGTTAAATTTACTACTTATACAATAACCGGAATCCTAATAACCCTTAACTCTCTGCAAACTTGAATTCATAATTTAATACAAATCCATTATTCATAAAATAAATGAAACTTTGTTGTTCCATACTTCTTTGAATATATTCTATCCATCTTCTCCATACAGAAACATATCTCTTTTGTGAATGGTCCTTCTGCTTTTTTTTTATACTACCACTTATAGTACAGGGTATATGGAGGAATGAAAGCAGGTCATCTTACCAAAGTTCTGAAAGTAAAACAGATGGATTCAGAGGGGACTGGAGATGGGAAAGAGCCTCTCTGTATGCTCTTTGTTTTAAACAGGTATGCATTGCATCCTTCCCTTTGGCTTTACTTTGCTTCATGGCATTCAGCTTGATTAAGCTATTCAAAGTCTTCATCTTATTCAGTGCTTCAACCTGGAATAGATATTTGAAATTGAAAAAAAACCAAACCTCTAAAAGTATTATTTTGCCAGTTTCCCAATGAATATTGTGAACAGCATTTCACAACTGATTAAGCAACAATTACTGGTTATTTCTACTGTCGGTAATAAGACTACTGTGGCTTTGTTAGGTTCCTTTTCAAAAAGGCCTGGCCTATAAAAGCATCTTACATCATGTTGTCTTCGTGCAAATAAACTCAGGGGAAGGATTTAAAATAAGTAGTACCTGTTTGGAAAGAACTTTCATGTGAGTGATGCTTCCACGACAATAAGCTTCCAATATCACGCCAAACTGCAAAGAGACTGCAGATATATGCATTTCTGATCTACAAGACATATATGTATAAATGTATAACCATGTATTTTAAAGTCATACTTATATATGCAGAAGGTAGATGGTTAAATGTGCAGCCCTTAAAACCCCAATTATGTTATCATTGCTCTACAACAGTTGCCAAGCCAAGTACATCCTTGCACATGGAAAGTATATACTAAGTAAAATACTCAATCTTTTTGCAGCAGAAGTCAATCTAATCCCCCAAGTTAAATCCTCTGTCTTTTAAATTCCCCATCTTCTAAAAAGGAACATACATAGAGAAGAGTCAAAATTTCTTGTTGCAAAATTCAGGAAACAATGTGAGAAAAGAAATTTGGTCTTATGTGCAAGTTTCTGATGTTCTTAAAGGTTAAACAAAAGGTCAGCTTGAGGAGAGCTCTGCCAAAATCAGAAGATGGCCATTAGAAGAACCTCTTCTTGAGTATTCCATTTCAAGAGAGGTCTGAACCTATTGATTACAGCAGCTTTTTGAATGATAAGCATTTTATGAATTGGGCTTCAGATACTATAATCTCACTACACATGGCTGATTTACAGGAGTGAAAGTCCAACATAACTTCAGAGCTCCAGACTATGGAAGTATCAAAAGGAGTGGAAACATGACTTTTGAAACTGCAGCTTTAGAAATCAAAAGGTAATGGAGAAGAAGGCATTTTGAAGGCACCAATTTGCTGCAGTTTAAAAGCCTGATTATTGCTGTTTTGACTCATTAATTGTGGGCAGGAATATTTGAAGAACAATCTGGAGGATCCTTCAGCTGGATCAATGGTTTTTCAGATGTTGATTCAATGGATGGATCTAAAGATTAACAAATAAGGCCTTAGGACAGGGGTGTCAAACTGCCGGCCCGCAGGCCAGTTGCATCGTACAGAGACCACACCCATCCCAGCTCCAGCAATACAAAAAAAGTCACAATACATCACGACATGTCATGTGATGCGGCGAGTTTGACACCTGTCCCTTAGGATGTAAAACAATCTTGTATGATTGTGTTTTTTATGAGGAACAAAGAATCCTCTGATACATTCTATCACAAATGTATAAAATAAGTAAATCCAAGACTGGTCCTCACTTCAAGTAGTAAATAAAAAGTTCACCTAATTCCAAGACGTAAGCAAAGCTTTTCCCAAGTTAATTTGCTGCTTTTGAAGAACAGAACTGAGTCAACTTTAAAAGGGACAAGGAAGATATATAATATCTTTAATGAAATACTTGATAAATTACAAAGAAACTGCGTAAAGAAATGATGTGGTTCTGCTTCTAAACATATACTTGGGAAAAAAATAAATATATGGAAAAACCATACAGATAGAACTTGATTATTATCAAAGTAACATTTATGCAATCTTATATATAATGCAATATACTTGCAGACTAAACCCTTACTATTCTCACTGTAGTCTGTCACAGCAGCTTCCCCTTCATGGGCACCATCTCTCACAAGCTTTATAAACTCCCTTGATGAATTCATTGTGGGATGTAAGATATGAAAAGAGTAAAATTAGTTTGATAAGCTCCAAAGGAGCTCAGTTTGTACCTGCAGTGTCTAAACTCTTCTTGGCTGAGATTCATATTCAACTCCTTTTTAGAGTTTAGTTGAGTCTCTAAAACCCATTCCCTTCCCCTTGATACAAAGCCAATTTTAAAGTTCCATTTTCCAATTTTCCTACTATATTCCTAATGCAATGCTGCACCGTGAAGCCAGTTACTTAAAAATTGAAATATATACTTGGATTCATACATTTTCTTACTGACTTAAGCTAGTTTTTCTTCCAGCCATTCTGTCTTCGCTAATCTTGGCTATCCACTTCAATTTTCATGAGCCACAATTACCCAGATGGGCTATGAATGCACGTTCACCAACCTTAGGCAATATGCCAAGGACATAAAGATACAAAAAGACTTATCAGTTTTGCCTAGAAATATGTTTTTGATTTGCTCTATTTATCCAGCATGCTAGACATTTAGGTTAACAGTCCTACAGTGTCTCTATTCAAACGAGATCATATTGAAACACTGGATCATACTGTACTACCTGCTTTATGCTGACGCTCAGCAAGAATTGTTATCATTTATGGTCAAGCACTTTCACTCCCTTTATCTCCAGCTGTTATGAGATCAATGTCACAAAAAAATTGCTTTACAGAATACAGAAATCTTCCTTTAAGCAACTCTTAGCTATTTCTTCCCAAGTTTGGTTGATCATTCAATTATAGTTGGTTTATCCAGCTGACTATGTTTATGCATTTATGTTTAAATGCATTTTATTGATTCTTATTTATATGCTTGTATTCAAGAATTGTATATTGTATATCTATTTGGAATTCACTTATTTACCATAGACGTATTACTGGTTTACTAAAAATAAACCATTTTCTCTGTTTGAAAAGAAATCACAATGAAAACATTTTTTAATTGTCATCTACCTTTAACCAATTCAATTTAATTGGATATTGAAAACATAAATTATACACATATGATATAAAAGAGAATAATGAAATATAACACTCAGAATGAACAGAAACTGCCCTCCATACTTATTTGCTACAGGCGTTTTGTATAACAAGTCATTCTCAGTCTTACCTCAAATGCCAAAACAACATTTGTCCTATCCTTCTATTTGCCAGGGCTTTCTCTAATAGGAATCTGGAGAGGGCACAGTCAAGAAAAGCTTCATATTTCAGGACTTGCACAAGCTGCAGGAGATACTGAGCAAGTTCTTCATCACTAAAAATAGGTTTAAAAAAGTAGATAAACTAATAGAATTCTGGATAAATGCATTCTCAATTTTATACCATTTCTACATTGTCTTCTATAAAATGTTCCCAATACAGAATATAATAAACTAAATTAAAATCAATAATAAATCAGTATGTATTTATATATTTACTGATTTGTAAGATGTATTCAACTGCCTAAAACCAAAAGAATATAGGTACCTTTTTAAAAATTAAATGTTAAAATAAGATAAAAATCTAAAACTTAAATTAAGAACAAAACACAAAACTAAACATTTTGAAAATTAAGAAGTGGTCAAAAGACAGGTCAAAAAGTGCCATGTTTTTGTCAATTTCCCTAATGCCATGGTTGTGAGAGCCATTCATGCTTCAGAGGGCAAACTATCCTAGAGGAGGTGGCCTATTACAGAAAATAGTTGCTGTTGGGTTCTCTTATGCTGCTGTACATCTTCTGATAGAGGGGATTCCTCAGCAAGGACTGCATAATTGTCTAGGTAGAATAGATGGGAAGTGTTGTAGAAGGGCAATCTTTAAAGTATATAGTAGAAGATGAAATAAAGCAGGAGAAACATGAAATAATGAAAGGAATGGTAAAAGGTCAGGCTGAAGCGACTGAATACAACTTCTCCCTAATCTCCTTTTTCAAAAGCTGAATGACCATGGGCAGGACCTCCCAGTCCAAGATACACGATATATAAAGTGGATCTGGATATATATAACTGGCTCCTTAGCCAGTTATTATCTCCTTACTGAGCATAGCTGATGCAAATTCAAGAAGATCTTGAATTTGAATCTTGAATCTCTGATTGGGGGAGTGCTACTCTACAGATCCAGGGACACAAAAACCTACAGCCAATCCTTCTGGTTAGGGTTAAGTCATTAGATGTCTCTTACATGCAGTGGTGGCATTCTTTGGCAGAACCAGTAGTTAATTTTTTGTTGCCCAGGCCCAGAATGGACATCTAGAAGTGACATCCACACAGAGAACCGGTTGTTCACATATCTGAATCCCACCACTGCTTACATGGTTTCATCTCTTGGATTCTACAGGATCCATGAACACAGAATCCACACAGGAATATGTTCATTCCAAACTGCAATCAGGCTCTCAGCTGAACTGTGCACCAGAGCATCAGAAATAACCCCTCTAAAATTCCATCGAATCAATCAGGTACCTGGGGGTAAGCCACTCAAACAGAACTTTTCTCCCTGAATGGGTGTGGAAAGTGTCCCCAATATTTTCTTCAGGTGGGTCTCTTATAAGGGTGGCGTTGCCCCCAAAGGAACAAAATGACAAGGTTGGACACTCCTGGTATAGGGTTTCCTACTCCAATGTCCCTTCCAACTCTGCTATTCTGTATTTTGTATTCTGTCCTTGTGGATCTATGGCTGTTGCCAGAAGGCTATAAAATCTAGGAGTTTTTCAATTGATCCTCTACTCAGACATATCAAACTCGCAGCGTCACGTAACGTATCGGAGCTTTTTCCCCATTGCCAGCAATGGGGTGGGCACGGTTTCCCGCTGACGCATCCAGCCCGCAGGCCGGCAGTTTGACACCCCTGCTCTAGCAGTACTCAAATCTAAAACAAGGAGTTATTCATGCCCTTATCATGTACCTTCACTGACTGAACTACCGCAATGTGTTCCATGTGAAGTGGCTTTAATTAGTCTAGAATGCAGTGCCATGCTCAACATGAACACCTGTGACTCGACTCTGCAGTGACTTCCTATTGTGTGTACAATTCAATATGCTGATTTCAACACCAAGCTATCTCCAGGACTATCTGCTCCATTCAGTTTTGATCTGTCCAATACAAACCTCCTGGAAGAATCTATTAGTAGCCTTCTATTTATGTAACGTGGGGGGAGGGGTACAAAAGAATGCCTCCAATCTCCAGTCTTTGTAGGGGGTCCAAAAGAATACCATACAAATATATTTATTTAAACACTTTACAGCAGTGATTTTGGGAAGTTCACAAAAATTAAAAACCACCATAATAATACAAATTCATGATGCCTCTGTTAAACAATAACCACTAAAACAAAACCACACCACCAACAGAGCTTACCTAATTGCTTAACCCAAAAGCCTGGAGAACAGCCAGGTCTTCAGAGGATAACAGGACTAACAAAGAGATCTGGTAAAACAATTCTGTTGCATATCATTCACAAGAACAACCAATTTTTGCCCCATGCTCTGGCCTGATTCCATTAAAAAAGATAATCTGTCTCGTCCAAGATCCTCTGTAGTTGAAAACTAATCACCTTATTAACAATCTTACCAAGAAATGGCAAGTTGGAGACTTGCTGATAATTTTCTGAGATGTTCAGACCAAAGGATTGCTTTTTGAGGAGGAGATACACTATCATCTCCTTCAAGGCAGGCAACGGAACCCCTCTGTCAAAGATGCCCACACCATCTACTGAGCTCATATCTTTGTGCCCTGCCTGGATGCATAAGGAAAAGGTTATAATTTACAGGTGTCTGGGCTCATCCCTAAAGATACTGTCAACTTCCTCAAGTGTCATAGGCTATCTACATCTTTATCTCTTTAGCATTAGTTACATGAATTTTGGCTAAAAGATCAATAGGAAAGTTCAAACATTCCACCTTCCAATTTTCTTGATTAGAGGTAAGAAAATAATGCATCTGTTTTAATTTCAAATGAAATTACAAATAAAGATTTTAATTTGAAGTGGAAATTATAAAGTTTATATCAACAGAGAAAATATATTTTGTCCATTCATATGTAAAAAGAATTACTATATGCACTGAAGTAAAAGATCACTAAACTCAGTCATCCAATATGGCTGCCGACATTTTCCTCAAGACACCCTCTAGAGCACAATAACAATGTGATTAGTACACTATATAATGCCACAACGTTAGAGAGGGTACTGGTAACTATGGCTTTTCTGCCTTCAGCACTTATTACTCTCGTCAACTGAGATTATTTAAACATTTTTTCTGTTTTATATATTGCTTAGCAAGGAAGATGCCTGCAAAAATTGACATTCTGTATAACATGCTGAATGCAAATCCTCTCCTGAATGATATCTGCACACACAAAACAGAAAAAGTAATGAAATAATTTACAATATGCCAAATGCTCAGTAGAAACAATCCTCTGGAATTACTATATACTATATCAAACTTAGACAAGTTTTATAGAAAAAAACACCTTGTTTACATTTTGAGGATATCAAAATATTCTGTTAACAATTTAGCCTTGGAAATAAAGAAGAAATGCTATTAATCTTATACAGCACTGTACAGAAAAGTCAAGGCCACAAAATCCAACAACATCCAGAACTGATAATAGTTAAGATTTTTCTGAAAAGAATCTTGATTGAATACATAAATCTATGCTTTAACTAAAATTAAACAAATAAACAGATTCTTGGAAAACCTATTATATAAACACACATACCAAATCTGTTGCACATCTGCTCAAGTGTAAATTCCTGTATGTTTCACATGACATAATCCTAAATTTGCAACGATTCACTTCCATAGGACATTAGTTGGATGCTTTCTAAATTGGCATTTTGAAAACATCTGTGTCTTTCCAATGCTATAGCATTTGCCCCAGTGAGAAAAGGGAGACTTATCCTCTCTTGACTAGATACCACTTCCCAAAGGAGGACCACCCAGCCTGATCTTACTGATATCATCAGTAAACTGGGATTTTAGCCTGGCCCACAGCTGGAATTGTTTCCTGAGTTAGAGAATTTATTTCACTCAGGGTAAAAGTCACAGGATTTTCTTGTTGAGATACAACTAGTGAGACAATTACTAGGATAAAGTAACCGTACTACTTACCTCATTTGTCGTAAACAGCCCACAGCATATTCTCTTACATATTGATCAGGATAATTGAAATCTAATAATTCTAATGCTTCTCTAGGTGGCAGTTTTGACCATATCTGAAGAAGAGCCTGAAGCTGTTCAGAAAATAAACATAATATATGCAGAATTCAATAACTAAAATATTTATGAACAGAATTCATTCAAGAATAGAGTTGGACTACTGGACCCAAGTTTCTGCATCTTAGCCATTGAATGACTTTGGACAGAGAGAGAGAAAAGGAATTGGTTCAATCTACTTCATGAGGTTTTTTGGGGGGATAAAATAAAATGAAATCCCATTTGAGTTGCTTTGAATTCTTGGAGGAGAGGCAGAATATAAATATAAAAAACAAGATTTAGTCAGTTAATAAATAAGTATTGCCTCTTCACACACACAAAAGGAAACATATTCAACAGAGATATAATACATACAGTGTGAGAGAAAAGTATTTTATCCCCTGCTGATTTTTGCCCACTGACAAAGAAATGATCAGTCTATAATTGTAATGGTAGATTTATTTTAACAGTGAGAGGCAGAATAACAACAAAAAAATCCAGAAATCGCATTTCAAAAAAGATATAAATTGATTTGCATTTTAATGAGTGAAATAAGTATTTGATCCCCTATCAATCAGCAAGATTTATGGCTTCCAGGTGTCTTTTATACAGGTAATGAGCTGAGATTAGGAGCACTCTGTTAAAGGGAGTGCTCCTAATCTCAGCTTGTTACCTGTATAAAAGACACCTGTCCACAGAAGCAATCAATCAATCAGATTCCAAACTCTTCACCATGGCCAAGACCAAAGAGCTGTCCAGGTATGTCAGGGAGAAGACTGTAGACCTACACAAGGCTGAAATGGGCTACAAGACTATCGCCTAGACCATGGTGCTGAACCTATGGCACGCGTGCCACAGGTGGCACACAGAGCCCTCTCTGTGGGCACACGTGCCGTCGCCCCAGTCCTAGGCCTTCAGCTGAGTTTTATAAAACCTTTTCGCTTTAGATCTCTGCCACTGTATGCAAAAAAAAAGGTCCAATCAATCAATCAATTTCAACTTCTTGCGTGAGAAAAAAGATCTCGCAAAGTTGGAATTGATTGATTGGACTTTTTAGTCCCACTCAGCCTGCCGTTACCACCAAAGCCACACCCACCCAATTGGCCACGCCCACCCAGCACCCAACGGTACATAAGTGGGTTTTGGGTTGCAGTTTGGGCACTCGGTCTCTAAAAGGTTTGCCATCGCTTGCCTAGCAGCTTGGTAGGAAGGTGTTAACAGTTGGTGTGATTATTCACAAATGGAAAAAACACAAAATAACTGTCAATCTCCCTCGGTCTGGGGCTTCATGCAAGATCTCACCTTGAGGAGTTTCAATGATCATGAGAACGGTGAGGAATCAGCCCAGAACTACACGAGAGGATCTTGTCAATGATCTCAAGGCAGTTGGGACCATAGTCACCAAGAAAACAATTGGTAACACACTACTCCGTGAAGGACTGAAATCCTGCAGTGCCCGCAAGGTCACCCTGCTCATAAAGCATATGTACAGACCCGTCTGAAGTTTGCCAATGAACATCTGAATGATTCAGAGGAGAACCGAGTGAAAGTGTTGTGGTCAGCTGAAACCAAAATTGAGCTCTTTGGCATCAACTCAACTTGCTGTGTTTGGAGGAGGAGGAATGCTGCCTATGATCTCAAGAACACCATCCCCACCATCAAACATGGAGATGGAAACATTATGCTTTGGGGCTGCTTTTCTGCTAAGGGGACAGGACAACTTCACTACATCAAAGGGACGATGGATGGGGCCATGTACCGTCAAATCTTGGGTGAAAACCGCCTTCTCTCAGCCAAGGTATTGAAAATGGTTTGTGGATGGATATTCCAGCATGGCAATGACCCAAAATACATGGCCAAGGCAACAAAGGAGTGGCCTAGCCAGTCTCCAGACCTTAATCCCATACAAAATCTGTGGAGGGAGCTGAAGGTTCAAGCTGTCAAACATCAGCCTCGAAACCTTAATGACTTGGAGAAGATCTGCAAAGAGGAGTGAGACAAAATCCCTCCTGAGATGTGTGCAAGCCTGGTGGCCAACTACAAGAAACGTCTGACCTCCGTGATTGCCAACAAAGGTTTTACCATCAAGTACTAAGTCATGTTTCACTCATTAAAATACAAATCAATTTATAACTTTTTTGAAATGCATTTTTCTGGATTCTTTTTTGTTATTTTGTCTCTCACTCTTAAAATAAACCTACCATTAAAATTATAGACTGATCATTTCTTTGTCAGTTGGCAAATGTACAAAATCAGCAGGGAGTCAAATATTTTTTCCCCTCGCTGTAATATAGTGGGAGACACCAGTTAAGATTCCATTTCTCTGCTTGCAATATACTTCAAACTAATGAGGAGGATGGTAGCACAAACTCTACTGACTCTTTAATATTCCTATTTCTAGCCAGTTGGTGAAAATGTCAATAATTTCATTTGTTTCTTTTCCTTCTAATGCTGTAAAAGGGGAGCTTTGAAGGCTTTTCATTATTTCTCTATCTGTGGCAGAATAAAGACCTCCTGTGGCAGAAGGTAGAAGAATCAGGGAGATCTGCGGAGTAACAAAGGGGTAGTGGTTGTTGACATAAATCAAATCCAAATGAGATATTAAAGAAGACATTCAGGATACTTAAAAGAATAAGCTAAAAAGATTTGTGTCAGTTACATTTATATAATCTCCTTAATCTGGACACAAATTAGCTCAGTTCTGTTTATTTGCAGATTCTAGAAACAGATGCAAATGCTATTTGGCAATTAATTTAACAAGAACTGGTTATTTTTGTAAAATTAACAGTACTATATTATTAACCTATGATCTATTGTATCTTATTTGGTTCCCTACCTATCCATTCAACTGAATGCTAAGCAGTTCATAATTGCTAAAATATGGAAATATGAATAAAAAACAGATTAAAAGCTAACATTAAAATTAGCTGCCCCATTTTAAAAGTGCAAATGACACCATCCTTTGAGCAGTGATTAGCCCTGAATTCACACTTGAACTCAACGTGCAGAGCACTGAAGAGCTCTAACGTGAGCCCTTCGTTGCAGAAAACATGGAATTTAATATTGTGTATATTTGGCTTCATCTCTATAATATCAGATAACAGAATCCAAGCATTCAAAAATGTGCGCAACATATGGAATATTATTCTGTTGTCACTAGGATTATGACTGCTTAAAAAAACTTAAAATTAAAGGCAGAGGTTATTGAACTAGAAAAAGTTAAGTGATATGACCCTTAGAGGAAACAAGAGCTCAATGACCTGAGAAGGAGCCAAGAAGATTCCAAAAATATAGCCAATTCTTGTTTACATTCTTTCTCTGGGCTTGAATAAGGAGGGAAATGCTGACCAGCTAGATCAACATCCCAGGTGGGTACTGGCTGATCTAAGAGTGTTGGTCAGAGGCCAACAAGGGGACTTATCACATCTGGGCTCAAAGCTTTCCTTTCCTTTCTTAAACCAAAACCCCAAAAAACAATACTTCTGCAGAAGAGTCAATGATATTGATTCAGAGCAAAAGTACACACATTAAAAAAATGTAACATTTCATTTTAATGGGAAAATTGCAGCATCTAGGAATCTTTCTCCTTATTTCATAAATTAATGAACTATGCCACTTTTAGCTTTTTTTGTCCCATCTTCTACCCACAATTTAACAAATTTAAAACATTTTTGCACGTAGTAAAGTTGATACCATATACAATTTTGCTTGTATAAAATATTAACAGACAACTAGTGTTCTCTATGGCATTATCTTATACAACTAGATGTTGTAAATTATTTTTTAAATTATAACTAATGTCAGAGCAATAATATTTTAAATGGATTTTTTTGCATTACTGGAAAATCTGAAAGGCCAGTTTTGGGATAAATCATCATGGAGAGAATATAGCTATATGGTCACTGGAAGTTGAAAACAACTTGATGGCACATCAATTAATCAATCAACAATCAATCAGATTTCTGCAGCTGGTCCAAAGAACAGTATCTAAAAATCTTAGTATGAACACTGGGGTAAACACTATTCAAGTACTAAAAGTGTTAATAAATTAAAAGTTAGGACAAAAGGGATAACAAAAAGGAACACAATGCCACTTTATCACAATATCCAGATTTGACTACTGTTGCTACTGTGTTTTGTTGCATATGATGAAGCATAAATAAACTATTTTTAGGAATTGTTCTGACATATCTACATTTTATTATGCTACAATTTCTCAAGACTGATTTGGAAGAGGGAACATTACCCATGTTTGTGTAGAAACAATGATGTATCTTCCCCACTCTCACCCCCCAAATACCTGATTTTAAAAGAATGCAAAAATTGAGAAAATGGACAGAATTTACAAATGAAAAAATACTGATAAAGCAGCTTACAATAACAATTTCATTTTTAATCGAATTAATAAAAATTAAATTAGAACCTTTTCCTGTAAAGCTTATAAGAACTGCCACTGTATCAGCCAAAATATAAATGCATTATTCAGCGATGGTAATTATACAGAAAGTAATTTACAGTAATTTACAGAAAGTAATTGAGATTGCTTGTTTGTCACCTTGTTTACTATTGAAAATATGTCGATCCCATTGGAATTCAGAAATAGGCTAATGATTTGTACACTACTATGTGTTCTTGTAATAACACCTTTCTATAAGAATGCCTGATTGCTGCTGCTCATAAAATACACTCTTGCTTAAAAAAGAAGTATGAGTAATCTTTCAAAAAACTAACAATTTTACCAAAACAAGATATAGATTTAGTTGGACATTATCTCAAATAGTAGGCTCATATAAAAACACTAGTAAGTAAAATACAGAATCAAGATGGCACCCTTAGGGATAAACAACTGTGTCTTTTTGAATTTTGATAGCATAGAGCAAACAGCAATTATTTATTTTACTTATATTTCATGTTTCTAAACCACTCATCTCCCTCAAAGAGGACCTCTGGTGTTAATTAATTACGTTAATTATGACTTGTCTATTCACTGACTGGCTTCCAGGTTAGCCACAGCAAATCACAAAACCCTGTCTACCACAAGATGAATAAGCTTCCCTATTCCTTACCAGAAGACTTTTGCAGGGCTCAAGGTCTGGCTGCAAATAAGTAAGATGCTAGATTTAGGCCTTTACTTTGTAGCATGTCAGCTTTGTAAAAAAATCATTGGCATGTCTACATTTTTTCAATTAACAATATCTCATTTAAATTATAATCTGCATTCCTAAGTAAAATCACTCACTTTGTCCCTGGTATTACTATTGCTCCACATAGCTTACTATATATCTTACCTGAGCAACATCTTCAAGCTTGTTCCATTTCACAGATAGCAACAGTTTTGGCAGGGATTGTGGAAAATTTTCACGGCAGTCAAATCGTAATGTCCAAATGAGATCGATTTCATTTTCACACAGCTGGGATAAGGGATCCCTTTCCATGATCTCCTTTAGCTCAATGAAGAACTTTTTGCCACCACGACCCTAAAAGGTTGCATGTTGATAAATGTTCAAGCATACATTCTGTAAATTTTACGTATGTATCAAAACAAGCGTTTCTGTCCTTGTACTGCTGCAAATGCCATGAGGTCATAATATACACATTCTTGTTTTAGTGTAATTGTTTATCAAATCACATTCATTTTACAAGTTTTATATACATCACAAACGCCAAAATTGTAGTTCATGAAATATGCACCTCTCAAGAAAGACCACTAGGGGGCAGTATTGCTATTTTACTATTTCATTTGGGTAATATTTCTGCTGAAGTGAATTTGAATTTAAAATTCAAAAAATAGATAAAAGCAAAACATTATATTATTTAAAGGTAAATGTACAGATTAAAGGAGAGTGAAGAATACCATATGAAGTCAACATCCAACAGAACTTTTGATATTTACATTTGAGCACTGTTTTAAAAATAGAAACATTTTAGAGATCATTTTCCCACAGTACAATATTCAAACATACAATATAAATAAACCCAATAAAGAGTAAAAAAACTCTACTGAAAATTTATAAACATTAATTTCTAACTTGCCTTTTACATAAGTAGACTAATGTACAATATTTATAGACATCTGATTTTGGGGGGGGGTTATGTTTGATTTTAATGTTTTAGTTTTTTCCCTTTAAGAACTGTAGTCTAGGTCAGTATTTCTAAACTTTGACAACTTTAAGTTGTGTGGATTTCAACTCCCATAATTCCCCATCCAGCACTGCTACTTATTGATATTTATACTTGCTTTGCTGCATTTTGCCATTACTGCATATTCTCCAAGTTTAAATTTCCAGTCTGATATCTTTGGTAATTTATCTCCTTTCCAATGCTGTGCTAAATTTATTCTTACTATCATGAACCTGTAGTAAATTGTGATTAGTACACTAAGTCTTCTCTTGAGCTGTTGTGGCATATCCAATGTGGTAAAAAGGAATGTAGAAGCATCCACTTAGGCCAGTGGTGGCGAACCTATGGCACATGTGCCAGAAGGGGGCACCCAGAGCCCTCTCTGTGGGCACGTGCACTATTGCCCCAGTCCCTCATCAGCAGCCCCCCAGAGGAGAGTCGCCCCCAGGCGCGGCCCTCCCGAAGCAGCACAGCGAAGGACTTGGCAGCTGGGCAGCGGGGACAAGATTGCCCTCGCGCCCCATCACATGCAGATGATGCTGCGGGCTGCAGGCAGAGGGTGTGGCCACCACAATGCTGCTGGACTGCCTGGGCGATCTGCTGTGGTGGGCCGTGGAGGAGTTGGGTGGCCCTGCGGGCAAGTGGGGCGGGGCAGGGGGCTGGAGTGGGGCAGAGCGGGTTTGGGGCACTCGGTCTCTAAAAGGTTGGCCATCACTGACTTAGGCTCTTATTTCCCACAATTTGCCATGTTATCTTGTATTCAAGCTATGTTTATTTAAATAAACCAACTTCAAAACATGATATCCAAATTTCAGCCAATTCCAATTCCAATGGCTCAACTGACTTAGAAAGCTATGGATAATAAAAAGCTAAATAAAATAAAAATTTAAGGGTAATAAAAATAAGAGGGGAAGAAAGGAGCAAGGAATGTAAATGTGCCTGCAAAAGACTATAATTCATTCATATATCAGGAAATTAGAGTGCAGTACTTTGTTCAAATTTGATTGATTTAAAATCATTTCTTTTCTGACTACTCCATATAAAACACATATAGACTATTATCTACTAATAATGTTATTAATCCAAAAAGCTGCAACAATCAAAACATAGTGCTTTCAGAACAGTAAGTATAGAATAAATATTTAAATCAAAACATTCTACTGAGACAATAAATGTTGACTATCTTGCACTATTAAAAGCTTTAATAATTCTAAATATTAAATCTACAGAAAATCACGATAAAACTATTCATACTTATAAGAATTAATTTACTCTCATTTTCAGATATATTCACAATTTCTGGTACACTTCACAATATTTAGTGGGCTGCTAATGAGCTGTGTTTTTATGCATTTTACTAGAAACATAATTTTGAAAGAATATCATGATTTAACTAAATTATTTCTGAATACTAGTATTTAGCACATGGTAAAGCAAATACATAAAATAAATACATTCTGTTTTAAATGGAGAATGGCAATTATTTCATCTTTGATACTTACTGCCATGCCAGAGCAATCACTGTTCCTTGCAATCTCAGCTGCTTTTTCAAGTATCTGCAGAAAATGTAACTCATGTTAAGAAATTTAAGTTTAAATTTAAAATTTACTGCCCGCACATACACAACTGAACTAGGCCAGACAATATTAGAATTAAAGAGTAAAGAACTGGTTTCTGTGCAGCCTGATAAATGGCATGTGCATGCAAGAAAATGAATGTTATTTACATTGCTCTTTCTGTCCTTGTTCAGATACAAAATCTACATTTTATACTATCCTATCTTAACATGAATCAGGTTCCATTGTTTCATTGTAAGAAAATTCACTGTACCAACAATAAACACAACTGTGTAACAAAACTGAAATACTAAAAGAAGAATTCAGACCTTGAAATTACACATTTGTGAACATTTCAGATTTATGCTAGCTGGAATCATGCAGTCATTTTTAATTAAAGGAAAAGGAAGCTTATACTGGATTTGCCCATTAGTTCAATATCTTTGCAAAAAACTGTACCTTAGACCCAGGAATTTTTACCCAGATCTATTTAGAGATGCCAAAGATTCAACCCGAGATGTGTGAAATGCAAGGTTCTACTGGGGAAAGGTTATGACAAAAAGAATTGTAATCTGAAATTCCTCATGATTTCAAACTCTCAATTCAGTATTTCTAGCAGTAGTTGGTAACAGAAAGAGTGAAAGAATGAAGAATGAAAATAGGCATCGAATTGGCCCAAATTCCATACTAATATCCAATCCAGAGCGTGCACAACGTTCCATTTGTGCTTATAGAAAATAGAGCTGTGCATATGCCAACCACTCACACAGAAGCATCCTCTCTCCATGCCCCCCCTACCCCCCCCCGGCCAGGCTACAACACTGGAAAGATTGGGGACTGCTGCTTTAGACAACCATTTATGCAACTTGTCAATTTAAAGTTTCCAAGTTGTACCTATAGCATTATTTAATTTTTCAGCTACTTCTATGGACAATTTAAAATGTATGTTTATATCCCCCTACATGTGGGAGGAACAAAATATACTTTCTGTCCAAAGATACTAAAGATTCAAATGATCTGCACCACATTTTACATGTTAACAGCTGATTTACATGTATTCCCTCATATTTTTTTTTTTTTTTTATTGAAATTTTTCAAAAGTTTTACAAATAAAAATCCACCCCCCCCTCCCCAACCACCCCACCCCCCCCCGACTTCCCAGAACTGAATATAGGATTATTTAACAAATATTTTAAAAATAACATTTGCAATTTATAAAATAATTAATAATAATAATAAAAATCACAATAATAATATATATAATAATAATATAGATAACATAAACTTTAAAATGAATAATATATACTAAAAAAGAAAAAAAAAAAAAATAAAAAGAGAAAAGAGAGAGAGAAAGAAGAAAGAAGAAAGTAGACGAAGAATAAAGCATATATATATATATATAAAAAAAAATATATGAATAATAATACATAAAAAATGTATATATATAAAAAAGAAAAAGAAGAAAGAAAGAAAGAAAAAACAATCATTACAAATTATAAAAAGGCTAAATAATATTTTTCCATATCCAAATTATGTTGTATAAAATTTATCCATTTTTCCCATACCGCAAAAAAATTTTCTTGAGATTGCTCCTTTAAGAAAGCCGAAATCTTTGCCATTTCTGCCAAATACGAAACTTTATGAAACCATTCTTGTAAAGTAGGCAAAGATTCCTTCTTCCAATATTGTCCTATTAACAACCTAGCGGCTGTAATCAAATTTAACATCAATATAACCTCCTTAGCATCACAGTCAATAACAATACCTAGTAAAAATAATTGCGGAGTAAATTTTACCCTCCTTTTAAAAATTCTTTGAATATTCCACCATATCTTAATCCAAAAAGCTTTTATATGCTTACACGTCCACCAAATATGGTAATAGGTAGCATCCAAATATCCACATCTCCAGCATTTCGGCTGTAGATTAGGGTACATAATGGACATTTTCTTTGGGTCAAGGTGCCATCTATAAAACATCTTATAAAAATTCTCTCTTAAATTTTGCGCTTGTGTGAATTTAACATTTCTTATCCAAATAAGTTCCCAAGTATCCATTGAAATCGTTTCACCAATATTCTGTGCCCATTTAATCATACAATCTTTAACTAGTTCAAGTTCTGAATCTAATTCCACTAAAACCCCATAAACTCTCTTAATATGGGTTGGCCTTTGATCTCTTACTTGTTTTAAAAAAATTTCATCTTCTCTAAGCCAGCCCATTTTACAATCCATCTTCCATCTATCCACTATTTGTCTATATTGGAACCATGAATAAGTTAAGTTTTCATGTGTTAATTCTTCCAAAGATTTTAACTGCCAGTCTTGGCCATCCCATCTTAATAACTGTACGTAAGAGACCTTGTCCATATTTACCCCTTTCCTTATACCTTCTATGGCATGCCGAGGTATAGCCCATAATGGTATTTTGAAGTCACTTTTATAATACTTTCTCCACACTCTTAGCAAAGAGTAGGTACAGAAGGATTTAAAAAACTGGAATAATTTACAGTTATCCCTTATGGGCAGAATTGCAGTTATTAAAATGAATGTCCTGCCAAAGTTTATTTTTTTGTTTCAAATGTTACCTATCTTAAAGAACGAACGTAATTTAGATGAATGGCAAAAAGGTATTAATAAATTTGTTTGGGCAGGGAAAAAACCAAGGGTGAAACTTAAAATAATGCAAGATTTTCGTGAGAGAGGTGGACTCAAGGTACCAAATATGAAATTGTATTATGATGCTGTAGTATTGACATTGATTAGCGACTGGGTGAATTTAACAAATACAGAAATACTTCATTTGGAAGGCTGGGACCTATTTTTTGGATGGCATGCCTATTTAATATTTAATAAAAAAGTGGATTGGGTTTTTAAGTCTCATATCATGTATTCCCTCATATTGAAACATACATAGATTCTGCAGCCACACAGTAGCGTATCTGCAGCATTCAGAGCTGAAGATTTCTGGTAGAAACTTTGCTTACCTATATACACAGAAAGAACTTATATTCAACCTAAGTTTTGAAGACTATCTCACATATTTAAAACTGAAGTGACTATTGAGTCCATGTTATCTCTGAGTTTGGTTGTTTTCTTGCAGATCATTTTGTTAGATAAGATCTTCAGTGCTAGAAGAGAGTGGAGTTTGCTGTTTATATACAGTGGCTTGCCCTGTCAGAGTTGATGGGGGTGTTGTTTTCTTCTTGGTATTTCTTTCATTAGGCTGTTGTTTACTGCTTGATTGCCTGGTATTAATCCTTGTGTTAATTTCTGTTTATTTGAGTATTGATTGCTGGTTAGGTGATGTTTTGGTCTTTTTTTAAAGCTTTTTTAAATTGTCTCTTGAATGGTGTAATGTGGTCTATGTGCTTGTTGATGGCTGATTTGAGTGGCAAGCTTCCAGGAATTTTCCTATCAGTTTTGGATTTAGTTTGGTCTAGGATGCTAAGTTTCCCAGCTGAAACTATGATTAAATCTGTTGGTGTGCTGTGAAATTAAGGATTTTTCATTATGTTTTCTGACTGCTAGTTGATGTTCATGGGTGCACTCTACTATTCTTCTTTCTTTCCTGCATAGTTGATGGTACAGATTTTATTCTGTATGTTGCAGATAACTCCTATCTTTTCTTTTCCTTGGGCTATTGGGTCTTTTGTTTTACCGAAGATGATGTAGAGGAATTTAGTTGATTTGTGTGCTCCTGATGCTATGTGGTTTTAATGTAGGGTTGAATAGTCAGGTACTTTTTGATAAAGTTGTGTAGGTATCCTTTTTGTTAGAAGATATTGTTTAGATGATCTGTGTCCTTTTTCTGGTGTTCTGGGTTGCTGCAGTGCTTTTGCGCTCATGGGAGGTTGAGTTGTTACTTTGGTAGTGGATCACTAAATAAATGTGGGTGGTTTCTCCCTTAAAGTTGTTTTTCTAATTTGCCGCCATTTCTTCTGCTAACGAGGTCACCCATAAAAGGCCCTGCATTGTTGTTATCCTTTTTTCCATATGAATTTTATTTCTTTGAAGATGTTGTAGATTGCTTTATGTCTTCTTTAGCTTTTCTTTTTTATTATGACAAAGCTGTTGTCCACATATCAGATTCATACTTTTGGTTGTATGCATGGGAGTGCTTTGATTTCTAGACGCTGCACTGCAGACTTTGCTATGAGTCCTTAGAAGTGGTGGTCTCATGAGTGTTCCTGTGATTTATTGATATATAATTTCAACTGTACTGAAAATAGGTAGTGAGGCAGAGGTTGATCAGGTTTATGGTTCTGGGTATGGTAATCTTAGTGTACTTGGTTATTTTGGGTGTGTTGTATAGTACTGCTCTCAGGATCCCCCCCCCCAGTTCTGAATCTATGGATGTAAGGAATGTTGTGACATTGAATGAAACCATCATCTTACCTTCTATATTAGGTCTTTGATTTTCTGGAGTCATTATAGTGGGGAGTTGATAGAACATTTGCTCACCTCTGTGAGATGTCCAAGCTTTTTTGTGAGTTCTTTAGCTATGTGATAAGTTTCCTGGTAACAATACAATTGGACAAAGAGGTATATTGGGCTTGTGTATTTTGGGGCGCTGGTGTGGAAGTGAAAGCATAGGCAAAAATTAAATGACATCTTACCTTATCAAAAGGGGGGTAATAAATAGGACATTTTGAATATTCTTGAAATCTGATTTGCAAAGTTGTTGCATTTTCAGTGTATGGGTTAGTCTGTACTGTTCCCATTGGATTCAACATTTCTTCAAGTTCATCTAGATAACCAGAATAATACATATTTTGTTTAACTACACATTTTGTTTAATTTAAGGGCATTACATCTGTAAATACAGAAACATATTTCAAGATCTTCATGACTGTGTTTCCACTGCTAAATATACTTTATAATCAGAGGTAGATTACTTTAACTGAGTTGCTTCTATGAGGGCCAGCAAATCATTGAACAACCTTCAAAAAAACAGAGACCCAATATATTTCCACATAAACTAATGGAAATTCTAAAGTAATTGGAAGTTAGATGGAAATGTAAATATTCTAAACACAAGTGAATAGAACAGTTCAAGGATGAAATATTCTGACCATAAAATATTTTATTCTGACTTCACTGGAAATGTTCCAATGTCCAAATGTTCTGTATGACATTACTGTAAGTGGTGCAAAGTCAAAATAGTTACTCCTCTATTTCACAGTGTTTTTTTTTTTTAGGCTGAGTCACTTGTGTTACAATTAGAATGAGATATTTCAAAATTGCAATGTTATCTGCCTTAAAATGTTTTGTATGCCTGTATTAAAATAAACATAGGTAGCATATTTATTCCATACATATATATATTTCTCCATTCTTCATCTTACTCTTAAACAAAATACAATGACAAAAAACAAATTCTAAACTATTTCAATGAGGATGGAACCTTTAAGACAGGCATGTCAAACTCGTGAAGTTTACTAGAGCAGAGTAGTGCTTTAGATCTAATTTCCAAAAGGTAGTTCAGAATGTGAACTACAGTAAATGTAGCACATCTTTTCTTGAGAACGACACAGCAACTACCCCTTCCCTTGCAAAGGTTAAGTATTAACATAGCCACCATAAAACATCCATCTCTTAACAGAGAAAGTTTCTACTACTGTTAGCCAAGTAGATGGGAAAGATTACACCTTAAGAAAAGAGGTCTCTATTTGGGATTCATTATCTTTCCTGTCAGTATTTCATTATCAACAGTCTTCTTTTTTTTATAACTATACATTACAGATCACCATCCTGTTCTCTAATATTGCCTTAATCGTAATCCATACTGCATGCCTTTCATTCCAGAGTAGCTGTTGTAGGCAGTCCCAGCAAATCAGCCACTCTGAAATCAAGGGAGCTTATGAAGCCCATATAGCAACTTCAGTCTCACCAGGAAATGATGACCAGCTGTGCAAGAGAAGGTCTCCAGTTTTCAACTGTCCTTTAAAATCAAATACCATAGTATTGACCCATGCCACAGGATAATGCTGCAAAGATAAATCAAATAATTTGAAAATTAAAACAAAAAGGGTACGGTGACAGTGACACTGAGACAAACAAATCCAAAGGTACAATTAATAGGAAAAAATGCTACTAATTATGTTGCTGATGGTGAGAGGATCTCAGAAGCCATTCAAGAGCCATATAGCTTGAACCATATTGGGAAAGAACATCAGGCACAAACTATAGCAAACTTATTTTCCCACTCATTGACCAGCCCTATTCTCCCAATGTTACCTACTGTAAACAGTTATGAGGCTAAAAAACTAATGAGCGTAAACAGAGAACTCCCTGACAGAAAAAGATGCAAGTGTAAATAAATACATAAACATTTACAAAAAATATACAGAACTATTTGCTGGAGTGAACTTAAAGATGAATGATTCAAATAATAAATATATTCAAGTTGATTATAGTTAAATTTTATACTTCATTAACATGCTATAACAGTTTAACATTTGTTTTAAATTTAATCAGCCCAATAATTTATCTTTGTAGGATGAAATGCCTTTGTCTTTGCAGACTATAAAAACATTTTAGTGCATAAAACAAACATAAAAATGCTAAGATTAATGTTTATTACAGAAAATATTAGGGAAGCTCTAGAGAATTCTAAACAAAATGTGAAGTGTTGAAACTACCTGAAACCTCAAACACCATATTCTTATTTCGGTTACAAGGTAGTCCTTGAACTGGAACCAGAATTTCCACCACTAAGCAATGTGGTCGTAAAATGTGACTGCATGACTTAGTGGCAGCAATTCCTATAGTCCTGTTTGCCATTGTTAACGGAATACTATGGCTGTTATGCAAGGGAACTCCCTGATGACTACCCACAACCAAAGCCAATGAGGAAGCTGGAAGGAAGTTGCAAGTCCCAGTTCCTCGGGCAGGTAAGTGGCTGCTACCAGGTGGGGGGAGAGTGTATGGGTGGGGGAAACTTTCCCCAGCAACCTGCAATCTTCCCTGATGGCTTCCCCACTGACAATCTGCAGAATGTCAAAAAAAGGTTGCGATCACATAGTTGTGGGATGCTTGGCAACTGATTGTGTGAAGGGGTTGCTAAGCACCCAAATTGCGATAATGTGACTGCGAGGGTGCTGGGAGGACTTGGAACTCCATGGACCAGTCATAACTATAATTTGTTCAGAATCATTCTAACTTGGAACCATTGCTGACCAAATAAATGGTCCTAGGTCAAGGTCAACCTGCATATCCTGTCTTTGACAGTTTCCATCACTGCACATGGGAAGATTATTTTATCTTCACAGTAACCACCCTGTGAGGTAGACCGGGTTACAAGAAACAATGGTTAATTTGAAACAGCTTTTCAGGAGTTTAAATATCTTTGCATATATAGAGTGAGATAGAAACCTGCAATATCTACAGCCACACAGATATACATGAAGTAGCATTCCCTGCTGCAAACCGGAATGTGAAGAAGAAATTAAATGCATTCATTACCACTTTTCCAGCTTTCCTCATGGTCTGGTATTTGGATGGATTCAGTGCCTTGGCTGATTTTTTATTTTTCATTTTATCCATAACAGCATAAACCACAAAGCACAATCTAGCCATTCTCGGCAAGTCACAGACATTGATGTCAAATTCCAAGGGTTCATTCCAAACATGGTCATTTCTCCCTGCTATTTCTGAGCTTACAATAGGTTTACAAAGGAGTTCATTGCCATGAAAGAGGCCAGCCCTGATATGAACCTACAAGATACATGATAGAAAAGTACTTTAAAATATTGTACCAACTACACAAATAATACCAAGGATTATTAAAATACAAGTATGTACTTGAAAAAAACATGAAAAAGTGGCTTTCGTGCAATTGCTCTTAATGATATTACTGTATGCTGTATGCAATATAGTTTAAACAATTCTGCTGTAAGGAGACAAATTTATTTATGCAGTTGTTAATTTACATTTGGCATTATCACAACCAGGAAATGAACCGATATAGATTATACTTAAATAGGAAGAGTATTAGGTAGGTTTGCCCATTTGAGTAGTTTATAAAAATAATAAAAGCAGGATATATACATAAAATAATACAATTTCAAAAGCTTCTCATGTCTTGCTGATACACTCGCACACACATACACACAAGCGCAAATTCTGGGAGTTGAAGTTCTCATGCCTTAAAATTGTCAAGTTTGGGAAACACTGGTCTATAACAAGCCTGAATCCTAACTAGAAAGGATCCAGATAATCTGTTTCTTCCAGCCCCTTCTGGAGCTGTAAGCTTTTCTCAACAACCCTCCCTAAGTAGAGTTTCCCTCATCTCGTGCAGTATCCTTAATACTTCCCAGGACAGTTTAATCAACTAGGAGATAAGGGGATTTAAACCATAGATAGGTGAATTCACAGTTCTATTTCATCAGGGCCAACAGACTCAAACGTTTCCCAGATAACTGGATTAGATTGTGCTTCAGGTAACACTAACAGACACTGATTGGATCTTCATTTCTATTCATATGTCAATATTTAATACAATATGTTAATTCTTCCTGTTCAAGTCTTGTACAGTTGTGCTCACAACTTACAAAGATTTATTTATGACAATTGCAGTGTCCTGGGACCATGTGATCACCTTTTGCGACCTTCTGACAAGCAAAGTCAATGGATAAGTCAAATTTACTTAACATTGTAAATGTAAATTTACATTTGTACATTTGTAAATGTACAAATGTAAATGTAAATCCCACCTTACTGACAGAATAACTGTGGCACAAAGGTCATAAATTGGGACAAAACTCACTTAACAACTATCTTACTTAGCAATGGAAATTTTGGGATCAATTGTGGTCAAGGACTGTCTGTATGTCTGATTAAATTCCATTTCATTAGAATCTTATTATAACTATTCTGCTTATGTTAGTGTTTTATCAAAAGTACCACACTTCGTAGTTTGCTTATATATAGATAAAGAAAAAAATTATAACTTTAAAAGTATCTCAAATTCTATCAGAACTTTCTAAGTGTAATTCCATTACAATAAGTGTGTAATGGAAATAGAACTGTGAATTCACCTATCTATGGTTTAAATCCCCTTATCTCCTAGTTGATTAAACTGTCCTGGGAAGTATTAAGGATTAGGTAAAGGCAGTGGTGAATGCTTCTCTGCACGAGATGAGGGAAACTCTACTTAGGGAGGGTTGTTGAGAAAAGCTTACAGCTCCAGAAGGGGCTGGAAGAAACAGATTATCTGGATCCTTTCTAGTTAGGATTCAGGCTTGTTATAGACCAGTGTTTCCCAAACTTGACAATTTTAAGGCATGAGGACTTCAACTCCCAGAATTCCACAGCCAGCAACGCTGGCTGTGAAATTCTGGGAATTGAAGTCCACATGCCTTAAAATTGTCAAGTTTGGGAAACACTGTTATAGACCTTAGGTAGCATGACTGCATTTGTTGATGACCACTGTTGGGATTGTGATGAAGACAATACATCCTTCTTAGATATCTTTGAACTCTCTGTGGCATTTGTGCTAATGAAGCAGGAGCTGTGATTCCAGCAAGATGCACAGACTGCACACCACTCTTGAATCGGGAAAAGCAACCCCCTCCAAGGTCAGAAATGAAATATCCCTACTTCTTAGTGACCCACAAGGTCATAGCCACTTGGTCGTGATGGGATGAGCTGGAGATGGTCCCTCCCTAGCCAAACCCAGACTGCCTAGAGACACTGAGAACCTCAACAGCCTCATTTGCTGGCCTGGGGGTCAAAAGATATAACTGGGTTCACATCATCTACCGCTTTCATGCAGATGTTGAAATTAGGGGGAAAAAGAGTAGAACCCTAAGGCATTCCACAAAAGTGGAGCCGAGAGAACATCCCTCTACCCAACCAGCACTTACTGGAACCAGTCCTGGAGAAAGGAAGAGAACCACCCTGGAATGATGTCCCCAATTCCTTGCCTGCAGAACTATCTCAGAAAGATACCATGGTGAACACTACAGAAAGCTACTGAGAGACCAAGGAGCACAAGAGTGAATTAAAAAGTAACTGCTTTGTAAATCTACTCATACAAATTGAGCAGAGTTACAAAAATCAATAAGCATGCCATAAAATACACCCTATATGGCTCTGTGGTAATTAAATATAACACGTTTATATGTTGTACTTGGGCATCACTCTGTTTATATTGTTCAGAACAATTCATCTCTAAGCTACTGAACATTAATATAATGGCATTTAACACTAAAACAATTATTTTAAAAGGAAGATTTTTTTAGTTTCATAGGAAATGATGGTTCATTTCCTTTTATACTCACCACAGAAAAAATGTTTATGTATGACTGAATTTGAATTGTCCATAGTTTGTAAACTGAGTAACATGGAACATTAAATATCAAATAACACACTGATAAATTATATCAAATTTTATCTGATAGTTATGCTCATAAATTAAATAATAATTCAAGTATGATCATAATATACAAAATGTACTGGGATGAACAGGCAATGTATCTCTTGTACTGGAAAATAGTTACTTACTTTGGCAGTTTCTTCTGCATCCAATTTACTACCATTTACTAGCAAAATTTTGAAAGGCTGGCCAATCTCCCAGACACTTTGAGTCACCTGTGGTAGAAAGAAAACAGCACTATGTGATTTTCGTTCTCTTTAAGCAATGCATATATACATACACATTTCAAAATCTGTACACAAGTAGTACAATTTTAATTTGCAGAGCATCTGATAGGAATGGTTTTGGATAGAATGGAAGTGCCTATCCAACACTGGACAGAAGTTCCAGGTGTTAAGGAAAGGAAGATCCACTCTGGAAGCTCTGAGTAACTGCAGAAAATCTACAGGCAATAAGCCCAAATCAGATATCATTTGTCCCAGGGAGCCCAGGAAGAAGTCTGGCATTAATGCAGTAATTCATCCCTCCAATTCAGGAACAGGAGAAAATGCAAAACTACCTGCTAGGATTCTTTTCAGAATCATTTCTATTTTGTAAATATCATTTCAGCAGATTAGAACAGAAACATTAAACTAAAGCCATAAATTCTGTTTACTGCAAAAGTTCTCACATTGTGGGTTAAAAAAAATGATCAGGCTTATTCAGGCAAACTGGGATCGCTGTCAAGATTCCCTCTTGTCTTACCTGAACAAGCCTAAAATGAGCTTGTACAAGCAAAGCAGAGAGCAAAGTCCTGAACAACTTCTGAGCCTTGACTAAATCATGGGTGTAGCCATCAAAACTATGACAGCTGAAGTAGTTTTGTAGTCATGGTCACTTATTATTTATGATTTAGTTTTATTCATGAAGGACACAAATATATTTTATTTTAAGGAGGCACTCCAGTATTATAGTTTGAAAATCTCTGGATAGCAGCCAGCATTCTCTGAATGACTTTTCCCCTAGGTCTAAAGCAATAATAGCCCCCCCATGGTAACATCCTGTTCACATATATACATGAAAACTCACACGTGATTTTTTGGGTGGTAGAGGAAGAGGAAGATTGTTTGATTTTCGATTTACTGCTGTTTCTATAGCGATCATTTCCTGTTCATACATTGTTTTAATTGTGCTGCATTCAATAAGTGTCAGCTGAGGAAGAGCTCTGTTTATTACACAACGATGGATATACTGAAAAAGAAAATCATATGATTATCTGAAAGTTCAAAATTACATAGAGCATTTCAAATAGGAATGTGCAGAGTCCCAAGGGAGTTTGTGCTCCTTCCAGAGCACAGAATGTGAGCCCTGCGGCTCCTGTAAAAGTTCTAATGGAAGTACGGAATTATTAAATATAGATGACTTAATTTAATTAACTGCACTTAATTAACTTTAACTTAACCTTAAGTTTTAGCTCATTCCAGTTCTGTATACAGAAATGCAGTGACAAGTGTACAGTCAAAAACACAATATGCACTCCCATATATTAAAATAGAATTAGGGTCAAAGGACTTCAGAAAATAAGAGTAAATTGGAAAAAGATTTATTATATCTTTATTAATTACCAATTAAGCAACACATCCAGCATTTGCTCCCAACTCTTCTGATTTTAAAAATGTTGATTGGGATATGTAAGTCCATGTGTACTAGTATTACCACATAAGTTAATATTAAAAAGAAAAATTCAAGAATATTATTACAGTTTAAATCAATATGATTTGTTTTTCCAAGTCCCAAATTGGCATATTCTTTTGCAAGAATGATACCTGGAATTGAATTAATGGATGATCCCCAAAAACATATTCCAGTCTTCCATTAACTTGTAATACATAATCACAAGGATCAACTTCTTCATCTTCTTTTCCATGAATAGTCAACCATTTCCGAATTGCCATCTCATTTAACTTAATAGGGTTAATATTAGGAGACACTTGAAAACTAAATACATCCTGTTAAAAAGAAACAGCATTTATTATTATCAAGCATTAAAAGGAATTTGTTTATGAAATTATAAGCAAGAAAAACGGCAAAACTGATAGCTAAAGCCATCTGACTTCCCATCTAGATTAGATTGGGGTCAACTGCTAAGGTAATGATATTATTTCACTGAATATTTCTGTATTTCAATATGCTGTATTTTTTATTTGATTTGGTCCTTTAATCAATAAACAATAAACTAAATTTACATTTATAGAAGCTGTTTTAAGCTGCTGACTACATTATGAACTCAATTATTATTTCAATGTCTTTTTACTAAGCCAGTTCTTTGCTCTGTTGTACCTATGTATTTAATTTTTGTTTCCTAAGAACTCTTCATTTGCCCATGTTAAATTTTACTATTATTTTCAGCCCATTTCCCAAACCCAGGATTAATCTGAATTTTATTTTTATCTTCTAAGATATTAGCTATTTCACTCATTGTTGTATTATATTATAAGCTCCTCTCTCTTTGTTCTTCAAAATCATTAGGGGAAATACTGAAGAGCAGAGGGCCAAGAAATGAATCTTACAGCACTCCATTTGGTATTCATTCCAGTTTGAAGAATGTCTTTGAGTTCTCTCTTTGAATATAGATAGATTGAAATCATCTATATATCCAATTAAGTATGTCTTTACCAACACTGTCATTAATTACTTCGCTAAATTCAAAATATGTCTACTGCACTCCCACAATCTACTAAGGAAATTAGCAAATAAAATTATGAAATAAAGATTGTTCTGGGAAAAAAAATGAGAATTTCAGTTAAATATTGCATTGTATCCTTTGTTTCTATGTGCTTTCAGATCAACCTTTTTATAACCTTCTCTAGAATCTTCCCAATTATAAACATAACTAAGTTCTTTTCTTTTAAAACATATTAAGTTGACTTATAGATATTTATCCACTAATAAAGACCACTCAGAGAATTAAAACAAAATGATTTATATATAAATGCTTGTACTGATGATGTGCTATTGCAGCAAGGAATACGTATCACATTTTTACAACAAATGATTCCAAAAGTTTAAAAATAAGCCAATAAAATTTAAAGAAACTGCCTTATAACAGGGGGGAAAAGTTACTACTTATTAAACTCAGCAATGTGTGAAAATATTATATTCTAGTCTCTGCATACCATAGCATTATTATATTTAAACCTTATAAAATAATTAATATAGGGTTATTACATGGCAAATAAGAATAAGAGTAAACAAAAATTGATTCTACAGAGAAAAAATAAATTAAACAAAAGCTTTATGTTTTAGTATTTTAAAACATTCCATGAAAAGTAATTTTTAAATTTTCTTAAAGGTATTTTAGAGTTCAAATGTTTCAGACACTTCAAAATTAGCCAGATATATACCAACACCATAGATCTGAAACAAAGCATGAAAAATGTTTTCCCTCTTAAGAAACCTCCTAGCAGTGTCTATTCCACTTTCACAAAATGCTTTTATAAAGACATATGGAGCTTTCATTCCAGAAAAATGTAAGGATTCAAAAGCAATTATTGACAAATGTAAATCATAGCTCAGTTTTCATTTCATTTGGTTTTATTATTTTTTTTGCCTGGCAACTTATTTATGTACCAGCTTTTTGGTAACCAGCCAAACCTCATGATGGAGTATCATAGCTATAATGAAGAAGTCTGTCAAAATCAATTCAATGTTTTCTTAGTTTCAAAGTGTATTTGTCTCAAAACTGTTGTGTTCTCTGAAGTTTCTGCCACAGCCCAGGACTCAAACTGAAATAGCAAATATTAAAACAAAAAAAAAAAGTCATCCACTATGTTTTCCATATATAGTGTATATTTCAGAGGAGTCACCTGTTTGCTAGGAGAGATGAGACTGAAATTAACTTTTCTAAAAAAGCTATTTTTCCAGTTGATAAATTCATCTTAAATTACAATTCCTGCAAATATCAGCTGAAATGGAAATTTTGAGCCAGAAAACATGGCAAGAAAAAGTTAATATGCTCTTAGTTTCTTTATGCACCAGATTTTTGTTTGTAAAGAAAATGACAATAGGAATTGAGTGTAGGATTCAAGCAGGTTTATAAACAACATATTGATTAATCTTAAGAATTATTTTAATTATATTAAAAATAATGCAATTTTACTTTCAGATCACTATAGTATACCTGTTTTTATTTTTATGCATATAGAAACAAAACAATTGTTAGTAATTATTTAATTCATACATCTATGCTATCTTTCATTTTGAAATTGCTGTTTTAACTGAAAGGACATCAACTGCAGCTATGTTAATATGAATGGGTGAGTCTGGAATTGAAAGAAGCAATCTTTAACAGAAGATCAACAATCAGATATAAGTACATCGATTTTTTGAGAATGAAATTAGACCCTCCTATGCCACCTGCTTTAGTCACTTTTTAAAATGCCATACTTGATTCACACAAATTCAGAAAAAAAATAGATTTATATTGTAATTTCATAATTCAAGTTGCAATACTTAAATATGTTCAACCTTAATATGTGAAATTTAACAGTTAATTCAGAGGGTATCAGAAAATGGTATTTATTTAAAAAAAAAAAAAGGGAGATGAAAGGAGTAGGCTCCAAAATCATCCATGTAATTTATCGAGAATTGAGGTCATCCAGCTTAACAAAGACTCTGGACTTAACAAAATGTAAAATACATAAATTCACTCATAGAATTATCACGTTTGTTCTCAATCAACTGCAATGCCGTATCACATTAGATTTTAAAACTGTTATTGGTTCTAAAAAAAATAGCTGCCTTTAAAGAATAATACAATAAAGGGATCACTCTTTCAGAAATACAAAGTATGTTCATTAAATCGTTCACATTTAGTGAAAATTATTTAAAGGATAGAAAAGTTTGCAAATTAGATTAAAAACCCTACCTGAGAGTTCTCATAATGAACAGCCACAACAATATTCCCACCATAAAGTTTATCCTGGAAGTTGTCCTGGATTGCTGGTCCTAATTCTGGTGGATATGTGTGCTTTAACCAATTCATCAAAGATAATCCCATCAGTGACTGCATTTTCTCTTCACTAATTTGTCGCATCTTAATCCGGAATTCTTTGATTTCTGGGTCCTGTAGGGCATCAAATTCATGGAGTCCTGGAATTTTTTTTAATTAAAAAAAAACCAGCAGCATTAAAGCTAGATGTATTTTATTGTACATACTTACTGATTATTATAATCATTAAAGACCATTTAATATATGAACATTTATGCAACCACATACTAAGGACCTTTTACAATCCATGAAGCTTGAAGAATAAAGCTTTTCATAACTATAAAATTACATTATTTTCTTTATATCTATTCAAAGGTTGATTTTAATGCATATTTAATCATTTGTAGGGTAATTTTTTTTGATATACAATATGTACATTTTACACTTCTGCTATAACAACTCATTTAGCAGCTACTTTGGTTAATTACAGTTTGCAAGTACAATGGTAATTTAAAAAAAATAATTTTCTGACTAATGCATGCACTAATAACTAATTTCATGCACCTGACTACAATGCATGCAGAGTGAGAGTAATGCTGGCACAGCTGTACAAGAGAAGTGTATTGAAATGGGACAGCAGAAACCAGAGATCTTCACGCATCTTTCGCTGTTCAGCTGGCGACCATTTTACATCCAATTTAGGAAATGAATTGCAGTTGCTAAATGAGAAGAGGGTGTTCATGTATAAAGGGCAACAGGATGGAGGAAAGGAGAGCTAAAGAAGTTGGACAATATTGTTTAAACCGATCCAGTTCAGAATTTTCAAACTATTAAGCAAGTTGGAACATGTCTGCTCTCCAAATTTTCTAGGCTTAATGCAGCTCTCAGCAATAAATAAATAAGATATATCTTTAAAAACCCAAACAAATAATAGTATGATTTCAAAATCTGATAACAGATTTATGGCTGCATATATGCAAAATTGAAATAGATTTCATACATGCTGATCTACAAATTCCTATGTTGATCATTCTGCAAATACTGACAAAGCTATTTGTATATTTATTTAAGACTACAATTTAATATTCATTTAGAGACATTATGTAAATTTTTGAAATTACAATTTATTTACTTACAGAATGGTGGGACCATGACCTGCGTGGGAATGAAATTTTGGAAAGTTGTGGCCACTTCAGTGCCACAATGTCTTCTGACTATACTTTCCAGAAATATACAGATTGCATTATGAAAGGAAAGATGGGACAGTCATATCTCCGCCCTCTCTCTGTCTCCCTATACCCAATAGCTAATGGCAAAGACTGAGAAACCAATTGGTTGCTTTGAAACTAAAGTTGAAATCTGAAATCTCTTAATGGTGATGGACGGTGAGAGAGGAACTCAGATGACTGCTGGTGAGGTAGGGCTGTCTGAAGAGTGCTGGTGATTGATGGCTAAGTCCTTTTCCTCCTTGGAGGGAAGGAACTCTTGGAACATGCTGGGATGGGAAGTGGAGTACCATTTTTCTCATGGTCCATGATTCCATTTATCCCCTCAGCAAAGTGACAGGCAGTTCTGCAGTCCAGCCAAGGAGAAGTAGTAGTTGTTTTCTATACTCCTTGCCAGCTTTCCACAAGCAAAAGCAGTGGGGAAGCCCACAGGAAGTTGGAAGTCACTCTTGCTCCCACTGTTTTTATGCCCATCAGTGGTCATTCTATTTCTCTGTTTAGGTAAGAAAATATCCCTGAAAGGATGACCCAAAAGGTCATGGATTATCTAGTGTAAAATAAAAATATCATTATCTTGCTTCAATTCACCTCAAGGTAATGTGCCTTTAGTGCCTTATTCCTAAAACAAAAACATGGACATTTACCTTTTCCTATGAGAACACCTATTTTAGAGTCTAACTTTTCTCCTGGATCACAGCTTCTTGTAATTAACTGGAGAACAGGAAGAAATGGTCTAATATCACAGAGTCTTCGGGTTTCATCCTCCAGTTCCTCACGTACTGCTGTTTGGTTCACACAGGAGAACATATATGAATCAATCTCCAGAAGAAGATGAAATAGAGGATAGCTGTGTGCTTGTTTCCATAGTAGCTGCAAATAAGACCAAATTGTGGTAACAGAATGCTCCAGTTGATTCACTGGAAAGTAATTTTTTTCCATTTAAATTCAGCATCAGTTCATTTCCTACTCTTGCAAGCAAAAACTCTATCATAAACAAACATCCTTAAATCAAATCCAGCTGATTCAAGCCTTCAAAGAACAACAAATTCATCAAATTTCAGTGTTGGTATATTGAGCTTAAGAGAAAACTAGTTCATTCTACTACAATAAGTATTCTAGAATAGCCTTTCAGGAACAAAATATATATATTATATATATTCATCCAGAAAGTTGTAAGGAAGACCTTTTTTCTCCAAGTTGCTTCTTTTGTGATCTCTATGGTAAGTTTGTCAAACTATTGAGCTGGGTTGGCTAACTATTAAAGCAAAAATCAATTCCAAGCCAAATGTATAATCTCTATTAATCAATCATTAGGCTTATTTCCATACAAATAGAATAAATGTGCCCGGCCATTTTCAGTACCAAACAGCCGAGGTGGCACAGCAGTTAGAGTGCAGTACTGCAGGCCACTTTAGCTGACTGTGTTCAGCAGGTCAGCGGTTCAAATCTCACCGGCTCAAGATTGACTCAACCTTCCATCCTTCCGGGGTAGGTAAAATGAGGACCCAGATTGTTGGGGGCAATGTAAATATATATATACATTGCTTACTGGTGTACACCACTTAGAGAGTGCTTGCACTTAAAGCGGTATATAAGTCTCATAAATAAATAAATAAACAGAGATGTACATTTATTATTTAGGTAATGGAAGAGAGAGTTGGCTAAGCAGGCATGGTCCTAAAGATACAGGGGGTTCAGCACAGCACCTCTTGATTCTTCTCTAAGGAGTACATTGGGATTGTTTTCTGTTTAAAATATTATTTATTATATTGTTCCTCTTCTATGATTAGAAGCTAGATAATCAATACTTACTGAATGTTTCATGAAAATAACTAAATTATGCCCCAATGGGCATAAAATGTCTTAAAAATGTCTTAATAACTCATATTAAGAATGTTACTTAGTAAAAATACTAAGTAAAAATACTCAGAAAAGATGTTTCAATTAAAAATATATAAATAACTAAGCAACATTTTACCTGTTTGATATGACAAATAGTGGCATCACGGGGAACATCTAGACTGATGTAAATTCCAGTGGGAAGCAGGCAATCCACAGAGATTGAGCTATCAGCTGCTATGTGTGAATCTACTGCCCAGATGTCCAGGATATCTGCCATGGCAGGAGGCATTATAGATTTTAAATATCATAACCACATGGACCTAAAAAGAAAAATAAAGATGGAGCAAGCTGAAAATTTTTTCCATCCCTCAGATCAGCTTGAAAAAATGAAACAAAAATCTACAGAATTATAAATTAAATCCTAGTAGAAGCATTCATAATGAATGAATTCTAGGAACATGTAAGGGTACCCTTGAGATGTGCTCAACTACTGTTAAGTACATAACCACAAACTTTTCTTGGCAGCAACACAGAAATTGCTTGTCATTGTCTTGGATATTTTTCAACTTTGTCGTTTAGCCTTTAGTCTACTACTCCTTGATGGTCTTCCATTTAACAATTTACAATGCCTGATCCTGTTTGGCCAGGTGTGCAAAAGACAGTTGCTTTCCTTGTCTTCTTTTGATAAGGTAAGCTGCTGAAGAATCTGGCATGCTTTACTAAGTACTTTGTCCCTGTAATCTCAAGTAATCTAGAATTTGTAAATGAAGAACAAATCCAGGGTCATAAAGGGACTAGCCTCACTATTTAAGTAAAGCTGTTTTGGACTCATGTTCACCCGATTCTTTGGCTCCCACTCCATGTATATATAAAATCAATATATAAAAATAAGGAAAAATATTGTACAGTATTGAGCTTAGAGGCGTATTGAGTATATTAAGCTTAATTCAAATACCTAAATGGCTGTTAGGAGAAAAGTGGAACAATAATTCAGGGATGCTAATTGAATAAAAGGAAAGGAAATCAAACTGGAGTAAATAAGAACTACCCGATTTTGATGTCCTGCCTCGAACTGTGACCTGGGGCAGTTTTCACCCAGTTTACCCATGCAATGAAAAATAATAATTACTGCATGTTCAAAATGCCAGTAAGATATTCTACATATCAAGCCATGACCAGTTCCCCAGACTCTTAACAGTTTCTCCAAAGAAACTACATATGAAAACCAAGTGAGTTTTCTTCAATATATGTGTAAATTGGGAGGAAGCCTACAAAACTAAAATGGGTAGCATCTCCAATAATTTCTAATTATTTTCCAGGGATTCGTAATAGGAAAGAAACATATGCCATTAATATGGTATGTTTTGATTCAAAATAGAAATTTCGTTAATTTCTACCTAAAAATTTTCTGGAGCTAGAAAACAACACAATTTTGTGATTTAAAATACATGTAGTCTTCGATTTTCAAGTAGTTGCTTAGAGATCATATGAAGTTATGACAGTTGCCTCAAAAGCTACTTATGACCCCATTTCAATGTTACTGGCCTGCAGTCATTCATCCTTATGACTGATACAGGAACTGCAGGGATGCTGGAGGGGCTCCCCTGCCTATTTCTCCCCATCTACTTTGAATGAAAAGATAATACTTCTGAGGCAGGAACATTATTTGTAATATTTACATTTAAATATTTATTTTACAAGAAATTCTAGATATCTTTTAAAATAAAATGAATGCCTACAATTCGGAAATACAAACATTACTGTTGCTTGAGAACTATCCTACAATTCTAATTTTTCAAGTACTCACTCACTCTCTTCTAATGGAGATAGTCGTCTGCAACTACTGACTTCCATTTTTAACTATCCAATCTATAGGTAGTTTTACAGCTGCTCAAACAAGCTAAATAGATGAAATTATTCAAGCAAGTAACTGAAATGAACTCCTTAAACTAAACTTAGTTAACTCAGCATTTGTCACAGATAGAATTATATGGCAAACTATATTCAGTTCAAAAGGAAAACCATTCTTTTATTCTCTTCCTCATGGCTTAATTAAAAGAAGAGACAGGAGAAAGGATTCAAGCCTCATTCACACAGAAGACAAGCCCTTTTCCCAGTCTGGTGCCCTTTAGATATGCTAGAAGAGGCTGCACTAACGTCTCCTTTTGAGCCAAGGTCAGCTCCTGGTGACTTCACAGAAATGTACATGTACAGAAGTGGTCTACTACTATCTTCTACTACTATGAGAAGTTTTTTGACTTTCCAGCTTACCCTTTTCCTGGTATTCCTTGGAGGTTTTCCATTCAAACACAAATCAGGACTGCCCCTGCTTACCTTTTAAATCTTGATAAAGTCAGCCAGGCATTACCACTAGCTTAATATTATGTCCATATGCAGCCACTGTGCCCAAGGAATCCAGCTACCAAGACAAATTAAGTATTTAGTGTAAATATAGATATAAGCATACCAGCAAAATCTTATCACATTGTAATATTATATATAACATTAGCATTCCATTTTTATGAAGCTATTTTTATCAATGATTGTAATCCATTTTTATGTGCCACTGAGGGTTGCCTTCAGTGCAGTAGGCAGCTATATAAATTTGATTAATAAATAAATCAAAATTGGAAGCTTTTGCCATTGTTCTCTTTTTCCCTTTAAACTGTCCTTGATTAGCTTTTTAATTAACCTATTAACAGTAAGCATTAAATATAGCTCATTAACTCTAAAAAATATAGCTCATTAGCTGTAAAAAAAAAACCAATGATATAATGCCTTTAGAATTAGCTAACATGAGCAGCGATTAGAGCAGGGGTGGGCAACCTCGGCTCTTTTATGACTTATGGACTTCAACTCCCAGAATTCCTGGAAAATATTATTTATTATTATGCTTAAGTTTCCAATGAACTGTAGTTCACAATATAGGCTGCTATCGCAATATAATATGAGGGTTGAATGTCCCAAAGGTGCTTTTCAGGAGGCAAATGGACTTCTTGTTTTTCTTTGAAGATGTTTCATTTCTCATCCAAGAAGCTTCTTTAGCTCTGACTGGATGCTAGGGAATGGAAGGATTTATGTTCCTTGCAGACAGCTGGTCATTTGCATTCTTTCAGAGAGTCGCTGAGACCATTTGGATGTTTACCTATGTCCTCAGGGTCACCTGAGTAGTGCAAATGTGTGTGGAGTCTTCTTGGCTGCAGGATGTTTTCTGCCCTGTGTCCCTTCACTGTTGAAGACAGGTACAAACTGTTGGGGATGAGTCTGTGTTGTCTACATCTCAAACTGAAACGCAAATGGTTCCTATAGTCTACAATGTTTTCTTGAAATCTGTTTCATACTCCTTTATCATTCAAAGGGTGCTCATCCCAAAATGCATAGCTAAAGAAAGTCTATTTGCCTCCTGAAAAAGCACCTTTGGGGCAACGATGACCTGGATGACGGAGAATCTCCGCAGACTTGAGTGTTGAATGAACATTAGTGTCTCCAATGCTACAACCCACCAACAGATGTCACTACTGATATTCCAGAAGCTGTGACATGTTCTTTAGCATCTGTTCTTTGTGTTGCTATTCTTTGTAAAATAGAAGCCTGTGATAACTTGGTGTGATTTAAGAAAGATGCTGCAATTGAATTGTCACAGCCAAAGAAGACTCCCCAACTGAAATTCACCACCAAATGCAGGTTATTTATGAGGATGACTGTGTTGATGTGAGTTCTGCCTGTCCCTGAGCAAAAAAAATTAAAAAAAAAAAGATGAACCTCAAAGAGCTGATTTGTATGATCCGGAATGAAGTGGATGATCATATTATATGTAAATATTACAAAGTTGGATTTCACTATCTTATTCCATCTATCATATACAGGTAGTCCTCGACTTACGATCACAATTGAGCTCAAAATTTTGGTTGTTAAGCGAGACACTTGCTAGGTGAATTTTGCCCTATTTTATGACGTTTCTTGCCACAGGTCTTAAGTGAATCACTGCAGTTGTTAAGGTAGTAACATGGTTGTTAAGTGAATCTGACTTTCCCATTGACTTCGCTTGTCAGAAGGTTGCAAAAGGATATGACATGGCCCTAGGGCCAGTATGACCATCATGAATCAATTGTTGAGCATCCAAATAACCATGGGGATACTGCAAAGTTTGTAAGTATGAAAAAAGGTCATGTCACTTTTTTCAGTACTGTTATAACTTTGGTCACTAAACAAACTGTTGTAAATCGAGGACTATCTATAATCCAGAAGACAGTGTGCAACTCCTACATTTTTCAAAAACTGAAAGAATGTAGATTGCATTTTTATCCACCTGCTGAGGTAGATAAAAAATCTGGAATAGGCAGATTTTGAATGGTGCAGGATGTAAACTATCTGACATAAAGCTGCCTTTTGCAATTGACTGATGGGGATTTTGTTAATGTCAAGTTCAGGTGATGCCACATATGTTTTGAGATTTCATCCAAGGTGCCGATTCCTACTGGTACTATTTTTGCCTTCTTTTGCCGTAGTCATGCTAATTCTTTTCGCAGGTCTTTGTATTTTGTGATTTTTATCCAGTTCTTTTTCTTTTGCTATTTCCGGTACTGCTATGTCCTCTATCCAAACTTTTTCGTCTTCTTGATCAACAATAGTTAAGTCTGAGATTCTGGAGCAGGTGCTTATCTGATTGAATTACAAAGTCCCAGAGCACTTTAGCTTCTTCATTTTGTATTACTTCATCTACAGCAATGGTTCTCAACCTTTTTATACGGTGACCCCCGGTCACACGGTCGCGCTACGCATGGGGGCGCTGCCCCATGCGCGGCGGCGCCATGCGCGGCATGCATGCGTGGCGCCCCCATGCGCGGCGGCGCCCCATGCGCGCCCCTATGCGTGGCGGCGCCCCATGCACGGTGGCACCCCACGTGCAGCATGCATGCGCGGCGGCGGCCCCATGCGCGGTGCGCATGCGCGGCGGCGGCCCTGAGGGAGGGAAATGGCGGATCGCGTTGTTTGGCGACCCCCGCAAAATGGTCGTTCGACCCCAAATGGGGTCGCGACCCATAGGTTGAGAACCGCTGATCTACAGTATATTGTGATCCAATCATTCTTGCTTGCAAGTTAATGCTATTTTTCACAGATATTCTAATGCACCCTTTTTATTACTTGTCATGCCATTGTTTGTAATTAATATGTGCAAACATTTTGCAGCAACTAACTAGCTTCTTTGCAGAGATGACATTTTTTGTCTGTTGCTGTCTTCTCAGTTCTGGCCTTGTATACATCTGTTCTTTAGGCTTAGTGTTGTGCAGCCAGAATTAATCTCTCTCTCTGTTTCTTTAACTTTCCTGCTCTTGGTCTTTGCCAGATCTTATTGTTATCTGCTTTGCCTGCTAATTTTTTGGTGTGTGTATATTGGCAATGTAATAACCTTTGCCGTGTCTCTTTTCTATTTTTCATTTGTTCTTTTTTTGGTAGGCTTTGTCCGTATTTAATATGCCTTCATGGTACACTAACTTCAATGTTTCTTCTTGACTGTTCATCAGATATATATTCTTCCAGTTCCCTTTGTCTTCAGCACTCTGGTGTACTTGCAACATTCGACAGTCACCTATTAACCTTAACTTCAGTATGCTTGATGCTTTAAGTTTGAAGGATCCCCAGATATTTATAATGATCTTCCTCATCCAGGTTCTTGAAGTTACTTCCATAGGGCATCTTGATTCCTTCAGGCTTTACTATTTTTCCCCTACTGATGGTAGGGTTGGCACATCTGTACAGTCCAAACTCTATGGCAATATCTTGGGTTATATAAACAGCTAATATTGAGCAGCTATTCTATTTCAGATGGTGTTTTTCCCTACAGCTTTAGATTGTCCATGTAAAAGACGTGTGATAGTCTGGCTGATGATTTTTGATGCTTGATAGCCATGGACTGACTTGTTCAGTATTGTTGACAAGGAATCAATGCAATGACAAAAAGTAGTGGTGATAGTGAGTCTCCTTGGAAGATTCCTCTCTTGATATTAACTTCTCCAGTTTATCATCATTGACCAGCAGCTGTGTCTTCTTTTGTGCCATTGATCTTTGCACAAAGCTTCTGATGTTTCTACTGACTCCTGTTATTTTTAGGCACTTGATTATCCAATCATATGGTAGGGAGTCAAATGCCTTCTTTTAATCAATCCAAACTGTTTTTAAGTTGGCCTTCCTTCTCTTGCAGTTACAATGAATGTACTGTATGCAGCAAGTACTACCTGCTGTATTTTTCCTAACTATGAAAGCAATGCCACTTTTTCTTAGCTTTTCATGTCCTAATAGTAAATAGTATGATCTTCTGAAAGTGCACAGTTCCAGTCCATTTCAGTTCACTAATACCTGAGATGCCAAAGTTTAACCAATTTGTTTCATCTTTCATTATGTTGAGCTTTTTCATGTATATGCTTCTTATGTTCCATGTATCAATTGTAATTTTCTCTTTGGGGCTTCAGATTTTCTTTTCCTGTACGGTAAGGTCAGCAACCAGATGCCATGAAAGTTTTAATCTAGCCACATCATAAACATGACTGAACTCCAAAACATCCTAGCTCTTCCTCTGTGTATGCTGTACCTAAGGGCCCATCTGTACTTTATCTTTAATCATCTATCCAAGGAGAGGGGTTTTTTGGGTTAAAATACAATATAATGGATTACCATTGCTCCTCCCTTGCTGTATTGAAATTATGCTTTTTCTGTTGTCTAAGAGATAAGTTACTTGAAGCATCTTCTTGTATTGTATTGCTGTTATCCATTATACTGTATGTGCCTGTTTGGTTTAAATGAGCAAGTGTGATGACCTTCAAGCCTTAGCTATTGATTATGTATCTTGGCATACTCTATTCTTTGCTCATTCCTCCCAGAAAGACCATCCCCACCACAATGAGAGGGGCAGAGTAATTGGGGAATACATACTTACTATTAATCACAGTTAATAAGCATTAATATATCACAGAGCTTTCCCCAAATCTAGTAAAAACAAAGGGATAAACTGATTTTTCCATGGTAAGACCTCCCATTGAATTAGAAAAAAATGTCGCTGCATGAAGATGTTTCGACTGAAACAGAAGTGGAAAGAGTGCTTAATCCTTTTTTTTTTTGAGTGGATAGTTTCAACATTAGTGATAATATAATTCTATCAAAACTGTCTCCCTACTCATGGAAGTTTTCATCTAATAAAGGATCATTGTTAAACTGTATGTGGCCATCATCTAGTTACATTCAGTAGGTGGATTTAAATCCTTATTAGAATTTGTTGGCCAATTTTATTTACATAAAAATTAGGTGCAGTGTGCAAAAATGCAGCACTTCAACAATAAACCAATTATCAGCCAAGAACTCTGATTTTTATGTGATAGAAAGAGCCACAAATATTTCATTCATTATTAACATCCAAGTCATGTGTTTCAGTTACTATATGACGTTGGCTTTCACCCTCTGAATAGCTTTGTTCTTATAAAACTAGCAAAACAGTTTTCCAATCTATGCTACAGCGATTTTTATAAGTAATTTTAAGCAAAGTTCTGCAGTAGACATGAGTAACATTTTTAATTTTCTATATAGGCCTGTGGATTTCTTGACAAATCCTGTTTTAAATGATATTCCTCAAGATGAAATTTCAAAAATAGAAAAAAAGATTTATATTGGTGTGAAAAATACATTATATGAGATTTGCCACTGACACATACAGACCTAGAAGGCAAGCTGGCATCTCACCTTTCTTTGCCAACGCACACTGGAACATATTTTTAAAATCAGCATTCAGCTGATTTTAAAATCAGTAACAGTGGTTGTCCAGTTGATTGAAAGTGACTCATGTTTACCTCATATTTACATCGTACTTCTGCCTTGCAAAGATGTCAGTGTGCATTCACATTTCATCCTTGTAGTAAACAGGTGAAATAAATTTTGAAATAGAATCATGCTGGAAAATGTAAGCTACTTCTGTTATTAACAGTATCATTGTTTATATTAAAGTTGGAGAATCCATATTTTTTAGATATAGCTGAATTACTAATTCCAGCATAGTTTGTACCTAATGCTACTGGATTCATATACCCACTGAGCCAAAACAAATTATGTATTGGTCTGGCACATACAAACATAGCATCTCCAGTTTGTAGAGTTGGAAGTAGATTTGTGGAGAAGTATATTAGTGAATTTTATGGGCCCATATAAGACAAGATATTGCTTAATTGTTATAGTTACATTAACAAAGAAAATTTCAGCTCTTTCCCAGGTCTAAACTTGCAATAATATAATCTTCATTAGAGACAATAATAGCCTATTTAGTAGATATGTCTTATATTCTTATACAAGCTTTCCTGCCCTTTCAAATAATTGAAAAATAAAAGAATTATCATACAAACATTTCAGTACTGATTAATGCAACACCTAGCTTTTGAAAGCAATTAAAAACTGTTTATATGTGTTCTAACATATACCAAGATTATATTTTAATATATTTGATATATTAATGTATCTCATATAATAAGCAGGTTTGGATGAATCCCAATGACTCCAGTTCCATAACTTTAATTTAAATAGAAATGTTTTATATATAAATCAGGAAAATAATCCTTGGAATGAGCTCTTTTGTTAACTGGTATTTATTTCTCCACATAATTACATTTACATTTTCTACTCAATTTGACTAGTAAAGCCATCATGAAAGAACTCCACACTTTACTTCTTAAACCAAGTTTGGGCAGTCTTTTCCACTTTTTCACTTCAGTTACATAGATGCTCAGTTGACTAAAAATATGATATGAGAAGAAACATAATAATAATAATAATAATAATAATAATAATAATAATAATAATAATAATAATAATAATAATAATAATAATAATAATAAATTAAAAAACAATGATGAAGATGCACTGACATTCGTATATCAGGAAGGCTTACTGACTATTGGAGAAACCAAACTGGCCTACAAGAAAGACCAAATGAAGAACAGAATAGAGGCATGGGAAGACAAAGCACTACATGGCCAATACATTAAAAAAATAGCTGGGAAAGCAGATATTAACAAGACTTGGCAATGGCTAAGAGCAGGAAAATTGAAGAAAGAGACCGAGGGACTAATTCTGGCTGCACAAGACCAAGCCTTAAGGACAAATGCATATAAAGTCAAAATTGAGAAGACAGCAACAGACAGTAAGTGCCGCCTATGCAAAGAAGCTGAAGAAACAGTGGACCACTTGGTAAGCTGTTGCAAGAAGATTGCACAAACTGATTACAAGCAGCGGCATGACAAAGTAGCAACAATGGTGCATTGGAAGATCTGCAAAAAATATCATTTGCCTGTAAGCAAAAACTGGTGGGATCATAAAATAGAGAAAGTCATAGAAAATGATAAAATTAAACTGCTCTGGGACTTCAGAATTCAAACAGACAAGCACCTGCAACATAACACCCCAGACTTAACAATTGTCGATAAGAAAGACAAAAAAGTCTGGATAGTGGACGTGGCAGTGCCTGGAGACAGCAGAATAGATGAGAAAGAACTGGAGAAGAGAACAAAATACAAAGACCTACAAATAGAAATAGAAATACTGTGGCAAAAGCATGCAAGGGTAGTACCAACAGTCATAGGTGCCTTGGGTGCAATCCCAAAACAACTGGAGCACCACTTGAGCATCATTGGCATTGACAAATTCGCTATTAGTCAATTGCAAAAGGCGGCCTTACTAGGAACTGCTTCCATCCTGCGACGATATCTGTAATACCATCAAACATCCAATCTGCCTATCCCAGGTCCTGGGTAAGGACTCGATAGGTAGACAAAATGCCAAATCCAGTCTGAACATCTGGCTGACTGTGCGATGATGATGATGATAATAATAATAATAATAATAATAATAATAATAATAATAATAATAATAATACCTGTAATACCATCAAACATCCACATCTGCCTATCCCAGGTCCTGGGTAAGGACTCGATAGGTAGACAAAATGCCAAATCCAGGCTGAACATCTGGCTGACTGTGCGATGAATGATAATAATAATAATAATAATGAAGTTGGAAGGTACCTTGGAGGTCATCTAGTCCAACCCCCTGCTCAGGCAGGAAACCCTATACCATTTCAGACAAATGGCATTCCAGTCTCTTCTTAAAAACTTTTAGTGTTGGAGCATTCACCACTTCTGGAGGCAGGTTGTTCCACTGGTTAATTGTTCTAACTGTCAGGAAGTTTCTCCTTAGTTCTAGGTTGCTTCTCTCCTTGATTAGTTTCCATCCGTTGCTTCTTGTCCTGCCTTCAGGCGCCTTGGAAAAATAGCTTGACTCCCTCTTCTTTGTGGCAGCCCCTGAGATATTGGAATACTGCTATCATGTCCCCCCTCGTCCTTCTCTTCATTAAACTAGACATACCCAATTCCAGCAGCCTTTCCTTATATGCTTTAGCCTCCAGTCCCCTAATCATCTTTGTTGCTTTTCTCTGTACTCTTTCTAGAGTCTCAACATCTTTTTTACATTGTGGTGACTAAAACTGGATGCAGTATTCCAAGTATGGCCTTACCAAGGCATTGTAAAGTGGTTTTAATACTTCACGTGATCTTGATTCTATCCCTCTGTTAATGCAGCCCAGCACTGTGTTGGCCTTTTTGGCAGCTGCAGCACACTGCTGGCTCATATTTAAGTGATTGTCCACTAGGACTTCGAAGTCCCTCTCACAGTTACTATTGAGCAAGATACCTCCTATACTATACTTGTACATTTGTTTTTTCTTGCCTAAATGTTCACCATTGAATTTCATTTTGTTAGATAGCGCCCAGTGTTCAAGTCTGTCCAGATCCTTCTGTATCCTAAGCCTGTCTTCTGGAGTGTTGGCTATTCCTGCCAGCTTGGTGTCGTCTGCAAATTTGATGATTTCCCCATCTATCCCCTCATCCAAATCGTTGATGAAGATTTTGAAGAGCACTGGGCCCAGAACAGAGCTTTGGGGCACCCCACTACACACTTCCCTCCATGTAGATGCGGTTCCATTGAGGACCACACGCTGAGTATGGCCGGTCAGCCAGCTACGGATCCATCTGGTGGTGATGCTGTCTAACCCACATTTTTCTATCTTATCAAGTAGTAGGGTATGATCTACTTTATCAAATGCCTTACTGAAGTCCAAGTAAATTATATCTACAGCATTCCTCTGATCCACTAATTTTGTCACTTGGTCAAAGAATGCAATAAGATTTGTCTGGCATGATCTCTTTTTGACAAACCCGTGTTGGCTTTTAGTAATGACTTTGTTTGCCTCTAGGTGTTCGCTGATTCGTTGTTTGATTATCTTTTCCAGAATCTTCCCAGGTATTGAGGTCAGGTTGATAGGTCTGTAATCTCCTGGGTCCTTTTTTTTTCCTTTTTTGAAGATGGGAAGATTATGTACTACAATGTAGTTTAGTCTTGTGGTTAAGGAACTAGGCTAGAAACCAGGAAAGTGGGAGTTCTAGTTTTGCCTTAGCCATGCAAGCCAGCTGGGTGACTTTGGGCCAGTCATTCACACTTAGCCTAATTCACCTCCCAGGATTGTTGTTGTATGGAAAATAGGTGGAGGAAAGAGTATTTAAGTATGTTTGCCACGTTGAGTTACTTATAAAAATAATAAAGGTGAAATAAAAAATATCTTTAAAAATGTTGAGAAAAACCAATCAAAATCCTCTCCTTTGGACATATGCTTACGAAATTGTAATTTTAACAAAAATAACTTACATTGTTGCTTTTCTGTTCAGAATTCATTCAAAGTAATTCTGGCCATGTAAGCTTATTTGTGCAAACCATCTTTTCTCTTGGTTTTCTTCAAAAGATGCACTGGATGACAGAACTGTTCCAAAAAAAAAAAAAAAAAAAAGAGTAAAATATTTTTGAAGAGAAGGCATATTTGAAGAGAAGGTATTTGAATCACCAAATATATTAGCTCTACGCTCATTTCCAATTAATTGCAAATTGCAAATGTACACAATGTATACTTTATATCATGATACTATATGAGCTCACCTAGTACATAATAATTCCAATATTCCAAAAATATTCTCTGAAAAAAAATTCCGTATTAGACCACTTTGCAACTGAAAGCCCTGAACTTAATCTGTTTTAAATGGATGTTGGTGATTTTTCTCTCCTACTTTCTTGACTCCTTAAAACAATATAGGAAAGAATTGTGAGATTTATGTTTCTTCCTTTTAAAGAAACATAAACATAAACATGGAATTAAAAGGAATCATCTTCATCTCTATTTTTTTCCAGCTTTCTAATTGCTTTATTTCCTTGGAATATAAAAGATAATTTTAAAAAAACTAGAAAGGACAAAAAAAGAAAAGCAACACTTGAATTTGCCAACTATCCACAGTGAAAGACATGAAATACCAGGTCATTACTTCTAGGCCGAAACAGCCGTACTGCTGTCTTCCCCAATCTGACATATATCCAGAAATGAGAGCCAATATGATATAATGGCTAAGGGAAACTTACAGTCCTGTACCAGCAATTACAAGGTAAGAATTTACAGTCCTGTACCAGCAATTACAAGGTAAGAACTTAGATCAGAATTCTTTATAGCAGCTATAAATCTCACAGTAAGAAAGGAATGATACAGGGAGGCCCATTTTTCCTGAGTCATTTTGAGAAGCCTCACTCAATGTCTCTGTTCTATTCATTTGATCTTTTCTTGTGTATGAGGGCTAAGATGGCAGGTCAGGTACTCTGCTAGATTCTAGAGAGCCAACTGGTGTCTGAGAGTTCAAGTCAGAACTTGTAAAGGCCCTGCTCCTCCACTTCAAAATCTGACTCATCAAGCAGGTCATGACATCCATGTTCTAGTTTACCCTCAGCCAAAGAAAATTACTTCTGTGATGACTTCTGGTCAGTAACACAATTCATTCAGTCCAACCAATCCACAAGGTTTTGTTTGGGAAAGATGGGAGGATGGAATACTAGCCACACTACCTAAAGACCCTGAAGGCCAAGCAGAACATAAATCTAACAAATAAATAAATGTCCCTACTTTGTTATCTTCTAATGTGTTGCAGTAAAGCCAGCAAAATCTCCAGCACTGGTAAATTTAGCACTTTGAGCACCATCCTGGAAGATAATTTGTTGTGACAGAGACAGAGGGCTGAAGCCATACTGAATCTTCTTGTTAGGTTTAAAACTGCAGACAGCTTGAATTCTGAAACACTCAACTTGTCACAAAATAAATATTGTGCTAAATAAACAGTAACAAAACTGGGTTTGTTTTAGAATAAACCTTCCCAACTTAAACTGTTTTCCAGATAGTTGATATTTCAACTTCCAGAATTCTAAGCAATACCCATTTTGCTGGAAATTCTATATCTACACATGCAAATATCTCAAGAATGACTAAGCTGGTAAACAATTTTCTAAAATAATATTTTTTTTTTAAAAAAAGTTACAGGTAGTCCTTGAGTTATGCCATGGTTCTTAAGTGAATCACTGCAGTTAAGTGCCATGATTGTTAAGTGAAACTGGCTTCCCCATTAACTTTGCTTGTCAGAAGATCACAAAAGCTGATCATATTATCCCAAGACATTGCAACCGTCATAAATATGAATCAATCGCCAAGCATCTGAAGTATGATCATGTGACCATGAGGATGCTGCAATGGTCGTAAGTGTGGAAAACAGTCATGTCACTTTTTTCAGTGCTGTTGTAACTTTGAATAGTTACTAAATGAACTGTTGTAAGTCAAAGACTGCCTACATTTTGTTTTATCAAACCCCCTGAATTATGGACCTGGCAGGCTATGCATCTGAAAATAAATGGATGTCAATCACTAATCCAGAAATTGTATCTATAACATTATTGATTAATATGTGTGAACGAGCAGTCTTGTAAATGGTGCAGAGATCAGAGAGCACTCTGGAACAGCTTTACAGAACAAATACTGAAGGACAACATAATCAACACGTGCCACTTACACAGAGTCACAGGTATTCAGGATGTAGGATTTTTCTGTATTACTGAAAAGAGCGCACTACAACATGATGATGCTTAGGGACTTGTGGCTCCATACTATATGCCACAGGTGTTGCAGGCAGGATAAAAATCTAACCTATTTAAATGAGCTTGGTACTAGTTGATGATCTTAACCCACAGCTCAGCAAAATTTATTATTAACCACATTTTCAGAATGTAACAATTTTCTATTCTTTGCAAGAAATTTCATACAGTCTTAATTTCCTGATTCTCTGTTTCTGTTAACATTTTGAAATAGTCTGTGGGTAACCTAATTTCTTTAGTTCCCCATTCCTTTCCTGCACTAGTTAAAACATGTCTTTAAGTAAGATACTAATAGATTGGGAATAGCTTTAACTTCTTTTTTATGTTGAGAATCATATGGTCATACAAGTATACTAATTTGTTGGTCCAACACATGCAGCAATTCATATAAATAACCAGATAATTTGCAAAGAGCTCATATGGTGAAGAGAAATATCCATTTCTGCTGCTTCTTCAGATTTCTGGTTAACGTGTATGTTTATACGTGTGTGTATATAAATAGGTAGAGAAAGACATATATAGATATATCTTGAGTGTGTGCTTGAATTATTTTAGACATACATTCATAATTAAGGCAGAAGAAAATCATCTTATTCTACAGATGCAGAACAGATCTACTTCAAGGTACTTGAAAGCAAAAGAAAGATTGCATCCTGTTATTATGCTATTAACCTATTTTTACACTCTGCATTTGTATATTTTTCAGTGCTTAATATTTACTATATTTTCATATATAACTTTCCAAGCAATCCATTTTGTTTATAATTTAAATAGAAATCCCCCCCCCATTCAAGAACAATGAAGTATAATGTATCTAAGAGACCTAACCTGTAACAGGCTTGAACATTCTTGTTAAAACAATCAATATTCTTGCAATATTTTATGAGTAGGTCACCCCAATTCCATTGGGAGAGGAAACCACAGCTGAAAAAACCATACAATCATTCAAGGCATATGTGGAAAAGTTATATAAACTTGTTAGGCAAAGTATGTTATTTACTTGTGGCACGACATTTTTTGTATTCCCAATGACTGCTTATCATATGCCATTCAAGAAATCTCTTAGTGGATGCTGAAATACTTCCAAAATGACGCCCTTAACTGTCTGCTGTGGACAACCTTGCAGTGGTCAACAAAGCAGCCAACCTGAAAGAATTTTAGGGCACATTCAAGGGGATTCCAGGGTGAGTAGTCTCACAAAAGTGCCGTGGGATTATCCACATAAAAGCCATTGATGCCGCAGCATCTCAGCACACAGTAGAGATATTAAGGGAGAAGACTGAGCTAAGCTTTCTGTGACAACTCCTCCTAAATCAATTCATCACTTCAAGTTGTCTGTTCCACTTCAGTGAAACAAAACAGTTCACCTCCAATAATGTAAATTGTTTTGCTAAAGCAAAAACTACTCATTTCAGAAAAGTTTATAGCAACCATTGTGCGTGAGTTTACAGAGTAAGAAACTGTAGAACAGATTCTCCTGCTACATCTAGCAGATTATCTCCAGAATAGTCACAGAAGATGTGTACTGCTTTCTAGATACGTCTATCTCGCAACACCCACATAATATGTCTGAAAACTTGAACTATATGTATAAAACATGCTCTAATGTCTATGGGGAAAGTCCTTAGCAAAAACAATGAACTTATTGAAAATATGGAAATGTTTTGTTTTATTTTATCATGATGTGACAGCATATTCAAATTGTGTATGCCCTCTGACAGAACCTGGAGAGATGGGTAGAGATTGTGGGATTTCTCTCCAAATTCAGAGATGATCTTTAAAGAATTTACATTTCTTACAACCTTACAAGCTTCTGAAAGCTATTTTTTTTAATGACATGGTTATTGAAATCTATAAAGGAAAAAAACAGATGCTAGACATTGTGGTCTGGCATTAACATAGAATTTGCTAGAATGCTTGCACTTTTTGCTCAAGTGAGTCAAAACTGCTCATTTGGCGAGGGGCAGCATAACATGATTGGAAGAAACGTGGATGAGCACTGTAATGTTCTACATTAACAGCTTGAGCAAAGATACATCTTATAACTGAATAACTTGAGTTTGAAACACAATCCAGCCCTAACAATTATTGTAAAATGTTTTCTTAGAGCAACACATTTTTGTTAGCTGCCCTTTTCCTATTAATTGGGATATCAAGGCTTAATTAGTGCACTAAACCTTTTAACTGGGATACATTATTCTTTAACATTGCTTCTGTTTGAAAAGAAATTCTGGAAAGGATTACCAGAGAATCTAAAAACTGAATGAAAAGTTGTAACAGTTTGCTTTACCAGTACGCGGGGTAATACATAACAAGGGAATTCATTTATTTGGGAAAAATTTAGGAAATACATCAAATATACATACAAGTAGTCCTAGCTTAACAGCTTTAATGAGGACTGAATTTTCATTGCTAAGTGAAGCAGTTATTAGACAAAACATCAGATGACTTCACTTAGCAGCAGTTCCTTGTAGTTCAGTTGCCATTGTTAGGTAAAGACATCACTCTTCTCCTGACCTGCCATGCTTGTTTCCCTTTCAACTGCCATCACCTGTCTATGTCCCAACTCTGCCGTTTGGGCCATACTGTACCCTGCCATCCCTATCCCCACTGACTCCAGGTGTCTTCTTGTTCCCATCGCTGATGAGGTGTGCCTGGTTGAGACAGCTGCTTGGCCCTCACAAAAGGCCAGCAGCTTATTTGACTGGATGTGCCTTAGCAATGTGAGGAAGAAGACAGCAAAGGTCAGCTTGAGGTAGTAGAGGTAGGCGGTGGCAGAATATAGTGGGTCCGAAAGGGCAGAGA